GTAGTCTGTTGTGTCACAATTATTACAGTTTGTTTAATAATCCTTTTGTTGATGGGAAGTAGACTTTTTCCAGTTTTGAGTTATTATGAATAAAACTAGTGGGAAGATTCTTATTTTCTTAACGTATACTTTAATATTTCTGTAGCTTTTGTATTATACATGCCACCTTTTTCCTGGTGAGCTTTTGTATTATAAATGTTTTTCCATCATTTTATCTCCAATAGTTTGGTGTCCTTATATATTAGGATTGTTACGATATACTGTTGGGTTTTGCATTATTTTATCCATTCTGACAACATAATTTTATGTCTTTTAATTTGAAGACCTATCAAATGTTTCATATTTATGATATATTTAGAATTAAATCCACCAAATTTCTATGTATTTTCTATTCGTCCCACCTTTTCATGTTTTCTTTTAGATCAAGTTTTTTTCTTAATTGTTGATAGACCTTTATTTTATTTATTTATATGTAGTGCTGAGTTCTAACCCAGTGCTTCACATGTGCCAGGCAAGTGTGCTACTGCTGAGCCATAGCTACAATATATATAGTCATATATATTGTTATCTTTAGTGGTTAACACAGATATTATAATACATATCCCTGACTTATTAGAGTTGGATTATTATTTCTTTTACCTTCTCCCAAGCAATGAAGAGCATTAGAGAACTGTGTTTATTTTCCTCTCCACTTTTATATCTCTTTTGTATCAATTTTATCATCTGTGTTTAGTTTATCCACAGATCTTCCACTCTTATTGCTTTCCATCTTTTTTATATCTCTGAACTCCCCAGTTGTTTCCCTCCTGCTAAAAAGTATTCTTCAGTACTTTAATGTGCATCTACTATGATTGATTCTCTTGGTTTTTGTTTGTCAAAACCTCATATGACATTTAACTGTCCTTTGTTTTGATTGACAATTGGTTAGCTTTTATTTTATTCCTGAAGTATGAGTATATCACTCTGTTTCCTGGTCCTCTTCCCATTTCTACTGTGAAGCTGGGTAAAGTCACTTTATTCATTATTCAGGAAGACAATTTGCCTCTAAAGGCAAATCCTCTCTTATTTCTTCCATAATGTTTCAATAACTTTACTATGAAGTATGTAGATGTACATTCATTTTTACTAATTTTATTTACTCTACCTAAAGCTTATGATACTTTCTGAATCCGTGAACTAGTGGCTTTTATTAGTTTTTTTTTTTTTTAAGTTGAGGATGAACCTTTATTTATTTATTTTTATGTGGTGCTGAGAATAGAACCCAGTGCCTCTCGCATGGTAGACAAGTGCTCTACTACTGAGCCATAACCCCAGCCCCATTTATTAGGTATTGAAAAACAGTTGGTATATTGCTAAAACCCTATTCTTCCATTTTCTTCTGAGATGTATTACTCTTACTATCTCACCTCTGTTTTTTTTTTAACTCCTATTTTTCATCTCTTAATGATTCATTATGGATATTTCCTTCTAAAATATTTTTCAGTTCACTGATTTTCTCTTTTATCAGACTATTGTTATATCCTTGGAGTAAGTTTTGCTCATTTTTTGTTGTTTTAGAATTTCCATTTAGTTCTTATCAATAATTTCTAATTCTCTGCTGAAATTCTAATTCTTGTTTTTATATACTCCAATATGCTGAGCATAGTTTAATTTTTGCTTTTCTTTTTCAGTGCTAGTTATTTTAAAGTCTATCTATCTGGTAAATCTTGTGATTTCCTTAGTTCTCATTTTCATTGTCTTGTCTCCTCATGCACCAAGTAATATTTTATAGTGGGTCAAATGTACATTTGGAATGAAGATAACTTGAGGACTAAATTATCTTCATCTTTCCTCATATTTATCTCTGCTTCTGCAGGCATTTGGGGGCTCCATCAATCTAGAATTACCTTCATCCATTTTCAGGGTTTGCAACGATTGGAAGCTGAACTATATAGTCCCTAGCAAAGATCTGTTTGCCTATGTTTCACCCGTATTTCTAGGATGAAGTTCTTTGGAACCCAATGCAAAGTAAGAGGGACTCAGCCCTTTGCCCTACTTACCATTTCAGCTTCTCAGCTTCTTAATCTTCTCTTCTGGAACCAGTACATACTTGCATTGCTGAAAACTGGCTTCAAAAGTTGGGGTGACATACCTCAGCCTAACTCTTCCCCCAGAATCTGTCATATTCATACTTTGTCAATGTATTTACTCTCAAATGCCTTCAAAGAAATGTTTCCCAATTCTAGTTGTCCTCAGGGGGTGTGATTTGTCCAAATTACCTACTTCACCATTACCTGATGCAGAACTCATTATCCTATATTTTAGTGAACATTCTAACTCCACCCTAAGTACGATGTGATAAAATATTTTAAATCTGATGTCAAAAAATCATGCCCTTTAACAATGGTTAATCAGTCTACACTTTTAGAAAAGAAAGAAAGGGCAAATTTTTCTATATATTATGTGTATCATTAAAAATTCTAGCTACATAATTATGTATAATATCATTTTTGAAAGTAAATCACTTATATAACACAAAAAAAAGTTGAAAGATTTTTAAATCTTAAAGGGATCAAGAAATTGTTTATTTCTGTTAAAGGGATTTTGAGAGTGAATTCCTCTGGCAAAATGGGTGGAAGATATTATTTTGGGCCCTTGAATGTCATTTTAAAGGGATTAAGTTCTTGGCAAAGTAGTTAACATTGTCTTGTTTTAGTAAATAAAATATCCTTTTTTTACAACTGAGACTAAAAGAAAAAATAAATCATCTCTATTAACTTCTTGGAAGTTTAAGTTTTAGATTTTTTTTTTTAAATTGGTTTACTTAGGAGTTAAGGGTAGTTGATGTTCTCTAGTACTCTTTTTCTAGAATATCTTTGTATTTGAGTAAATTATATATATCAGTTAAACAAATTTTAGCTTGCTGTGGTGGCATACACCTGTAATCCTAGGTACTTAAGAGGCTGAGGCAGGAGGATCACATGTTTGAGGTTAGCCTTGGCAACTTATCGAGATCCTGTCTCAAAATAAAAAGGGCTGGGATGTAAGTCAGTGATAGAGTACCCCTGTACTAGAAAAAAACAAAACAAAACCCCCAAAAAACAAAACTTTAAAATGTTAATGTTCAGTATTTTCTCTTGGTACTTAAGCTTCTAGTGAAATTAAAATATATAAAGAAAAAAGCTAGAAGATAAAGAAAAGCAGTTGGAGAAATCACCACATTCTTATTAGCAACAAAAATTAAATGTCTAAATGAATACAGTATAAAATAACAACTCTGATTTAAAGGAAATAAGAAAGTACTTTATGTATTTATTTGGTACTGGGAATTGAGCTTTACTATTGAACTACATCCCCAGTCTTTTTATTTTTTTTTGTTTTGAGACAGGGTCTTGCTGTGTTGCCTAGTTTGGTCTCGAACTTGTGATCCTCTTGCGTCAGCCTCCTGAGTCATTGAGATTGAAGGAGTGGGCTACCACACCAGCAAAAATATTTTCTGCTGAGCCTAATTAGGGTGACCATGGCTCAATAACACAAATGCAAGTTTCTCTGAATGCTACATTCTACCAGGGAAGAGGTTATATTACATTTTAGAGTCATATAACAATAGAAAGCCATAAATCAATGCACTTACCAATCACATTGGTAGGAGCCTCAGGGACAAGCTACAGCAAGGCAAGCAATCTCTTCCATGGGTTTCAAGTGTTACTGAAATCTTAGCTTTAGAGTTGGTGGAGACTAGAGGTCTGTCAAGCTTAGCTATCCATTCTAAGAGTTTAATCTAGTGGTCACATGATGCTAGGTCAGATACAAAGGTTGATAGTAAATGGTATTAGAAGGGACCAAAGACAGTCCAAGATAACTTTGGCTCTTGATCTGCAACATCCCATCTCTTCACAATCACTATGTTCTGGTCAGCCAAGGTCACACAGTCTGCAGGCTTTTCAACATATATATGGCTTCTTCAGAGAACTTCAGTTCACAAACATAAAAAGAAATGTGTATAAATGTAGAATTTATGTGAATAACAAATTTCTTTAGTTTTCCAAACACTTTGGGATTTTAAGAATTATAAAATCTGTTATAAATTAGAAACCTGATATTACCAAGGAACAGACCACATTTTTTTCTTACCCAATTGGTCTGGTGCTTTGGGAAAAGCAGACTATCAGACTACTTTTTTTATTTAGCTCTCAGAATCATTTTTCTGAAGAGGTCAGCTAATTCTCAGCCTTCAAAATTATGATACTTTGTTCATGATTTTTTACTTATTTAAAATTTGATTCTTTACTGATAAAGTTTTGATGTTTTCTTTCTTTATGCATACCGACTGGTAACATTGATCATTTAGTCCAAATACTAAAATCAATTAATTAATAAAAGAAAGTAATAAAAGACGAACCCCAGAAAGTTTAGATACCATTTAAGTTCTCTTTATCTGTACTAATTTCCAAACTAAATGTAAATAATTTGTCTTTACCTAAGAAACTGAATATTTTCTATCAGATAACATTTCTCTAAATGAAGAAGACAAATAACTAGAGGCTTGATTGTCACATTTTTCTTTTTAATTTTAATTCTCTTCATATACTTTAAAACGTGACATATAATTTGCCTCTGCCTGCATACATTCTGATAATAATTCTAGTTTATAAACTATGGTGCATATGGTAGAAGGTATAAAGCGAATCATAGATAACTATATTATTTTAGATCTCTCTATGCTATTGCTTTCGTTTGTTTCTGTGTATTTCATTTTGTTAATACTAAACAGGAAACATCTCCTATTCCGTAAATGGATTTCGATGTATGAATGACATCCGTGAACTGGCTGCTTGTCACCTGCTTGGTACTCAGAGCTGAGGTCACTAAAGCTCCCAAAGCAATCGTCAGCAACAGGATGGTCTGAGGATCCAGAGACCAGTGACTCTGGTGGACTTTCATTCTTATCCTGAAATAAGACCAGGGTATCATCCAGACCTTGTCATTTCATGTGCAGCAGCCAATTCTGAATTTCCTCTTTACTTGGTAATGGCTGGGAAGAAGGAAGAAGCCAGATTGATTTGTGGCACTAAATTTTTTTTCAAACTTCTCTTCCGTCCTCCCTGTGAAATAAAGGGCATGTTATTTAGTAACTAGATTACAGAACAAACGATTTTCCAGAGTCAAGTTCAAGTTTCATCACTACAGAAGTTTTTAATCCTCCTGGGGTGTGTGTGTGTGTGTGTGTGTGTGTGTGTAGTCGTTTACTTCACATTCCAATGTGTCTCCAGACAAAAGAATGCTACAAGTAGGAAGTAGAACAAGGGTATAGTAGAAGAATAGAAGTGAGAAGTTTTAAACCTACTTTAATTGGACAGTTATCCACTCTAGGGCTCAACTGAGAAACATGGAAAGGGTTAGTTAAAACAAACTTAGCTAATTAATAATTAATCTTAGTAACATCAGATTCTGCTGACCAGTAGGAAAATAAAATCAAGTGATGATCACACAAATGAGAAAAATGAGTTGGTTTTGAATTGAATATTTTTGGAAGAAAAAAAGATGAAACTTTAAATTCATTTAGTTTGTATTAAGAAATATCTAATTTTATCAGTAATGTCCAACCAGCATTTAAAATTGACACCATATAGAATTTTGAAGGGCTTGGTTATATGATTTTGAAACACACATCAATTTGATGTTATGATCCATTGTAAAGAAGACAGAAGGAACAAAAAGAGGCGAATTATAAGGTAAAACAAAAACAATAAACTACTAAAGTCCAGATTCAATCACTCAAAGATTCTTTAGGCTTAGACACTAGTAGGTCATGTGCCTGCTCCTCTTGCTCCCAGAGACAAGGTTAGGAGGCTTAGTTCCCAAGATCACTCTACTGAAACCAAGCTAAAGGAACTTCCCAAGCTGCATGGGTCCTTCTTATATTTTCCTTTTTGTATTTCTTTTATCTTTTTAAAATAAAGTTTATTAACTAAAAAACATATGCCTGCTATAATTTTCTTCTTTCTTTAACTATTTTTGGTAGTTGTAGATGGACAGCATGCCTTTATTTTATTTGTTTATTTTTATGTGGTGCTGAGGATCGAACCCAGTGCCTCAGGTAACCGCTCTGCCACTGAGCTACAACCCCTGCCCTTATTTCTTCAGACTTAATTTTTGGAAGTAGATTTGCTAAAGAAAAAAAAAATTTTGGTTTAAAAAGTGTTTTGATACACAAATTTCCCTTCAGTAAAGGACACAGTTCTTAAATTTAGAACTAAATTTCATTAATTAAATTTCATCACTTTAGAACCTTGATTCAGGTTTATGAAGTCCTGGCATCTCTGTTCCCTTATGTCTCCAACTCGCACCTCCCTTCTCACTGGAAATTGAATCCTGAAGCTCTTTGCCACTGAGCTACATCCCCAGATCTTTTTATTTTGAGACAGGTTCTTGCTAAGTTACCGAGAGTTTTGCTAAGTGGTTGAGGCTGGCCTCCAACTGACCCTCCTGCGTTAGTTTCTGGAGTCACTGGGATTACAGGTGTGGGCCACCACCTCCAGCTCAAGGCAACTTTTGATTTTCACGGGGAATGAGGAAAATATGAAAATAATGAGGCAAGCCCTCCCTGCCCTACCACTTGGTTAGTACATATCGTCCAGCAGAGTTAGCCTTAAGAGACCTGGAGGGATGCAGTGTGCCCACGGTGCCCCAAACTCCTCTTTCAGACATTCCTAGTGCCTGACCACTCCGACTTTCCCAAATGCATTCTTGCTCCTATTCCCAGTAGCTCATTAAGGCGTTTGTTAATAATAGATAAGAGGATTAGAATGTTGCCTCCAAAGAATATTTATATTTTTATAGTTTGGACTTTTGAAGCTCCTACTGTATACATTTCTAGTGATGGGAATTTGCGAATTCCTCTTGTTAGGAATTTGGGGTTAATAAAAACTCATTATTATATTCAGCAACTTTTTTCAGTGTCTTTTATGTGTCAAGTCTATTCTAGATGTTTTACAGGACAGAATAAGTAAGATAAAGTTTCTGCCTTTCTGGAATTTTCATTCCAGTGAGAAAAAAAATGAATAATTTTTTAAGGAAAAAAATGCCATGGAAAATGTCTTTAAAAAAATTCATCAGAGCCACAGAGAAAAATCAAGCTGGGAGAGGGGATAGAGAGTGATGGGAAGGGATTCTTAATGTTCATTATTTGTACACTCTCAGAAGATTATTCTGGTCAGAAGAGACTAGCAGCTCATCTATCTCTGAATTCTATTGTTTTATATTTAAATATCAGGCTCTAAAGTCAAACTTCTGGGTTTAAACCCCAGCTCAATTACTGGGTTCTTTTGGAATCTTAGATAAACATAAGTATACTTATGTTCTGTGCTTTTAGTTTTCTTAACTGTAAAATGAGTGTGATAATTGTAACTACTTCAAAGTGTTATTGCAAAGATTATGTGAAAGACTACATGTCAAGTGCACAGTATTGTACCTGGCATACTAATTTGAAAATAAATATTAGCCACTATAATTGACAATATTATTGAGTTATAATAGTTCACCTAAAATAAAATCATGAGAAATTCTGTCATTATACATTCTTTTGAAAAACTATGAATATGCTATATATATATATATATATATATTATATATATACCATCTTTCACTTAAATAATTTTTCTATGATTGGATATGTGTCTATAATTTTGGAAATGGGTTGCATTTCACAAAGTTCACATTCTTCCTCTCTGTTTCCACATTTAAACTTTTTGAAAAGGAATATAACATGTGTTCTAATTTGTTTTCCTATATTATGAGTAGTATCTTATAATTTTGTAGTTTAATTTTCAGGAGATTTATAAACCATTTACAGAAGTTAGTACTTGGAGCCAGCATTTCTATATTTTAAAATTGCAAGTCAAAAGAGATTAGGATGTCTATTATTGGACTTTTTTCATAGTACTTTCTCTGCTCTGTGCTGTGAGCTTCCTGATCTGTGAATAGATTCCTGGTGGCAGTAACACTGCCAAGCACATGATAGAATTTTTAGGGTATTCCATAAATGTTTATTTCACTAAATTGAAATCTTGAATCCAAACTTTCTGAGGGCACTTTATGCCCATCTTCCTAGAAATGCTTCTTATGAGACTAGGCATTGGGTGTTTATTTATTGATTTGATTTCATCCACCATTTTCATACTTAGGCTGTTTGGCTTCCTCAAGTTGCAGAAAATCAACACACTGGTGGCTTTAATCTGTTTTGGTTTTCAGATTTTGTTGTCCTCTTCTAAGTACACAATTTTCTGAAAACAAGTTTAATTTTATTTTGGAAACTAATTTCAACCCATTAACCATGCTTAATTCTTTTCTTCATTTAAGCCAGAACAGTTTTGTTCTGCTTTGTTTTCAGTTCTCTGGATTGAACCCATGACCTTGCACATACTAGGCAAGAGCTCTACCACTAAGCTACATCCAATCTTTTTATTTTTATTTTGAGATATGGTCTCACTAAATTGCCCAGGCTGGCCTGAAACTTGCAATCCTCCGGTCTCAGCTTCCTGATTAACTGGGTTACAGGTGTGGGTCACCATGCCCAGCACAAATAATGTTTTTCTAAATTGTCTTTTAGTTTTAGATTATTTATATGATGGTGTTTCACCCATTACTTAAGACAATTCCAAGTAATAGTACTATTTTTATAGAAAACTCTTCTATTGCTGAAAGCTCTCACTGGAAAAATTGACGGAATTAATAATTACCAGGAAGCACTCCTATTCTCCTTAAGTACACAAGCTAACAAAATTATGGTAAAATTTCCCATGTTAATTAATTTTACTTAATTTTAAACACGTTTAATGCTTTTAAAAACTGTTGTGTTGTTGTCATTCTGTTTGTTATCTGTTATTGGATTAGGTGTGGATAATAAAAATTATTTTCTTTCTGTTTTTAATCTGACTTCATGGCAAGGGGCTTTATAAAAATCACCATGTGCTGCTAGATCTTCCTCTTAGTGTTTGATATATTTGAATCACTAAATATAAATCACAATGGATTAAGTCAGACCCATGCAAGCTTCTAGAACTAGTGGATAAGGAATAAGGTTTGATTTGTACAGACCATTAATCTACTAAAAATGAGCATGACATTTAGTGTGAAAAAAACCTCAGTTTATCACTTAATTAGCATGTGATAGTTGGCAAGTCACTTGATCTTGCTTTAGGATCCTGTTTTCTTCCCCAGCTCTAGGATGGAACTAACATTTTCTTTGAACTTATTGTGAAAATTAAAAGAATCATATATAAAGATACATTGTAAACTTTGAAGCACTTTATGTTTTTCCTGTTAATACATGGGAAAATTTCTTGCTGGAGAGCCAGAAGCTGACTGAAGCCATGGCTCCATCTTATAGGTGCAATAAGATTAAGAAGCAAAGTATGTAGCTCAGTGGTAGAGCATTTACCTAGCATGCACAAGGCTCTGGGTGCCTTTCCCAGCACTGCAGAAAATAAAAATAAATAAAATGAAGCAATGATGGATGTCCAGTGTTTGACTGTTGTATCAAGTTGCCTAGCTTCTAAAAGAGCTCAGTGAATAATTTCAGTTTTGAAGCACTAGCAGAGCTTCATTCACTCATGCTCCCAGGTTCTATTTGATTTTTGTCCTCTCTATCCAAAAAATTCATGATTTCCATCGCACTGATCTAAGACACATACATCTGCAATATTCAGTAAAAAGTATGAACAGAAATAATTTTAGGCCCCGAAGTTATGTTTCTAGGAACAGAAAAATAATTAAATAATTAAAAACCAAACAAAGGGGATAAACTGTAGAATTAGAATCAACTGTGGAGTTAGTACTAACTTACTTTTTCATGTTGAACATGAATTCCCTTCTTTCCATCTGAGGATTCCTTTTGTGCTTCTGAACCAATGAGTGGAAGGAATCTTAAACTAGTGGGGCTTGTTACCTGTAAGTCATAAACAAAGAGTCAGACATACTTAATGTGATAACTTCCCTAATGTGAATTCTCGATGGGAAATGAGGGGGAGAACCACACTTCAACAAGACCCCTCTACCAATTGCCCACTGTTAATTCTTAATGGTTTACTATTAGCATCATCTATTGCTTAAATCTTTGACACCTATTAAAATGAACATATCCTTGGAAAAGATAAATAGCATTTAAGATTCAAGTTGATATTAAGATGAAACATTTGTTCTTTGGTTTATTATTTCTCAGGTTCATTACTTAGTTCTTTAACACAGGTAACCTGGGGTGGACACTTGAAAGGAGGGATTTGAAAGAAAACAAGGGTTGGGTGAATATTAGAGGACAGCACAGGCACAGTGTGATAGAGGTGACAGACAGATCAGTGAGGCTTAATGCATAGAAAGTTATTTGGCAGGCTCTAGCCTACAGAGTATGGTGAGAATGTGATCAAAATGAGGGCAAATAATTCTGGCAGAAACTGGATCATAAGTCTATATGCCAAGATTTTATCCTGTGGATGATGAAGAGCCACTAAGTTAAAATTCAAAATAGCTACCATGTGGAATGGTAGAGATAAGTGATTCAAGCTGTTGACACCCAAAACTCTTCTGGGACTGGACATCAGCTGTTTATGGAAACAAAAGTGGGTTTAGGGGTGTGATTTCCCCCAACCTTGCTTGATAGTGCAGGGTGAGGAATAAGAAGTCAGCTTTTGTATTGTTTTGTTACTTCTCCAGCTCTACAAAATGCCCCAACTCACCCTGTATATAGGAAGAGAACCAAAACCAATCCCGGCCTCTCTGTTCTCAGTCATGAAACCTTCTAAGGCATGTCTGCGAATCTGTAAAACAAAGGAATGAGTGTTTTGTGAAAAGGGTGCATTCCATCAGTAGCAAAACACCTGGTTCAAACCCTGACTCCTTCATTTACTAGCTGCATGTATTGCTGTATGTATAAATGTGGCTGTATAACCAATGTGATCCTGCAATCTGTACACATGGAAAAATAAGAATTCATACCCCATTTGAATCAAATGTATGATATGTCAAGATCATTGTATTGTCTTGAGCAACCAATAATAAAAAAAAAGAATCAAAGGAGATCATATAGATAGCCACGTGTTAGCAAATTTAAGATTTAGTACCATTATATTCTTATTACTAGTAACAACAAGACAAAAGGGAATTGACTGAAAATAAGTGAATAGATTAATATTACATAACTAAGAATGAAAAGAAATGGGCAAAACAAGATTGCTGATGACAATCAGAGAATCCTAAGTGAAATGCATTTCAACTCAAATTTAGCATTGATTCTTTTTTATTTTACTACCTAATCAAGTAAGTAGTTGGCAAGGCTCATAATATTGGGCCATTCCATTATTTCAAGGGCTCTATAAGCCCTTTTAAAAATTTCCCCAAATTTATTCAATGTCTCAGTTGTTAACTGTTTTTTTTTTAAAAATATTTATTTCTATGTTGGATGAATATTGCCTCTATTTCTAGGTTGCACTATTTCAATCCTATTCCACAAAACTGAGTATCTGTTACATATTATGCCCATAAAGAGCTTATGAGTTAGTAGTAGAAGTGGGAAGTAAAGACAAGATATAAATAAAATTGTAATTCAATGTAGAACATGCTAACTAAACAGATCATAAGACATGAAGAGAAAGATTGGAGAGCTTGGAGTCTTGGGGGAAAGTGGAACTCATTTTTATGGAGAATTTAAAATGTTCCTGGTATATATTTTCTCAATCTTCACACAACTTATTGAGGGATTTTCAAAATAGAAGATGAATAAAATAACTTATCTAAAATTATACTTAAGTCTGTTGGACTCCACAGCCTGTGTCTGCCCTACCTATCACTCTTCATGGAAAAAAAAATCTGAGTCCTATTTGAACAGAAAGGTAGGGTTTTAGAAAAAAAAAATGAAAGGTATTAAATATTTATTAAGTATGAAGTAGATAGTGTAAAAGAATATTGATATAATGAACCCACTGGCCTGCTCTACAAATTGGAATTATACCCTCAAATTTGAAATCTTCAGACTGCAGTTCCCTGGCCTCTTTCCTGATCTACATTTCAGACATTGATGATTATCTTGAATTTCACGCATTTGATTTACTTGCTTTTATTTTTATATAATTTTACCTTATATGCTTTTTTTCAGAGTGGGAGGGGTATACTGAATATCCAGAGGTACTTAACCACTGAGCCATATCCCCAGCCCTTTTTATTTTTTATTTTGAGACAGGGTCTTACAAAGTTACTTAGGGCCTCACTAAGTTGCTGAGGCTGGCCTCAAACTTGTGATTCCCCTGCTTCACCTGAGTTGTTGAGATCCCAGGTGTGTACCACCATGTTTGGTACCTTCTATGCTTTTTCCAAACCAATATTTTTTAGTTTTGCCCTTTCTTTTCTTTTTAACATAAACTGAATCAATATGTAAATACTCATATAAAACTTTTCTCACTCAGTAGTGTTTCACTCATCCATGGAGGTAAGTGTTAAGCTAGTACATTTACTTTCACTGCTGTATACTAAAATGATTTAAGAATATGCTGTAACTTATTTGTCCATTACACTGTTGACAAGTATTTAAATTTCTTTCAGTTACAAAGAATACTCCTCTGAGCTGTATATTCCTGCCCCCAAGCACATATTCAAAAGTTTCACCAGGGAATATATTTAATAGGGCATGACTATTTTCAACTTTAACCACATTTAACAATGCCATGTTGTTCTTCCATGTGGTTCTATCAAATAACACCATCACCATCGACAGATTAGTGTTCTGATTATAGTGAATATCATCAGACTTTTTTATTTTTGTCAACCTGGTAGGTCTAAGTGGTATCCCATAATATTATTGACGTGCACTCCCATGTTTACTAATAAGAGTGAGCATATTTTCATGTTTATTGGATTTTTTTTATTTTGTAAAGAATTTATTCAAGTTTTCAACCATTTTTAATTGGACTGTTTTTTCTCATTAATTTTTAGATCTTTATAAATTCTGGAAAGTAATTTTTTTCAGTTAAAGTGTTCTTGTTTTTTTTTTTTTTTTTTTGCTTTGTTGTGTGTGTGGTTCTTTTTTTTTTTTTTTTTTTTTTAGCTACCTTTGGAGAAGAAAGAGCCTTGAAAAACTTAAAATCCTGTTCCACTTCAAAGGGCTTGGGAGGTGTGCGTTTGAAAAGTAATGACATTGAGCTCATCTTTCTCCATCTGCATACAAAGATACAAAAAAAGAAAGTTAACTTCATACTTGTCCCTTATATGTCCTGTCAACTAAACAAATACCAGTTATGTCTTTCCTCTTCAGTCCCCAAATTTCTAGGTTTTCGTGGCACCAGTACTAATGACACTATGTCTGCACCTGATTCTTATTCCATTTAGCTTTTTAGATTTTCCTCTAGAGAAACCACATTGACTTCTTTTCTGCCTGAACATTCCATGTAATTAAGTTCATAAATAGTCATGGGGAGAAGGGGGGGGGACTATATAGCAGAGCTGGAAAACCTCTTGTGTAAATCCTGTGCTTGAGTTCTATGTGACCTGAAGGTTCCCCTAGAGTTAAAACTAACTTATGGAGACATTTAGAAATCCACAGCCAGGCATTAGAAACATTTTTTAAAAGACAATAAAAATACATCCTGAGATGGAGTTACTCTACAGATAAGGCCAATTTTGCTACAGGCAAACAAAATTATTTCATAGTAAACACAATGTGCACACAGATCCCATATTTAGCTTACCCAAATACACTGTAGCTTTTCATACTTCTTTATCTACCATTTACATGTATGCCCACTCTTTGTAATGGTTTCCATTCTTTGTTTCACAAGTATCTTTTGAGCTCCTGCTGGGTGCTGGCTCAGAGATAAGAACTAGGGATTTATAAAACAAGGAATCTATGCTCAAAGATCTCACGGTATAATGATGAAGACCCATATTCACATATTAGAAAACATTGTTTAATATGTCTTAAGTTATGACATTATACCCCATAAATTTGTATAACTAAAATTTTGAAAGTACTCTATATTATCTTCTCATATCTCCTTTTTATTTCTCAACCATTGCTATGTGATTTTCACCAATCACTTTACTGAAGTTACCCTCTAGAGTCATAAGTGACCTTTTTATGCCACACCCAGCATTTACTTTATTCCATAAATGCATCTTTCTCTACTTCTTCACAGAACACTTATCTCCTTCCTTGATTTCTACTATACTACTTACTTGTATTTTTGCTTTCAACATCATAGCTGTTCCTTCTCAAGATTTTCACTAGTGTCTCTTTCTTGGTCTGCTCTTTAGAAACTGTTTCTTGTTTATCGCATAGTTTTCTGCTTTTTCTCAATCAATACACAAGACCTTCATGACTTATCTACACTGAAAATACTGCTATGCTAATGACTTCAAAATCTGTGTTTACCGCTTTGACCTCTTTGAGGATATACAGATTTATCTGGGTGCTCAATAAATACCTCCACCTGGATGTTCCCAAGCAAACCCTTCTCTTTTTTTCACACTTGCTTTTTCTCTTGTATATTCTGTTACAGTGAATACTGTAAAGCTTAAAAATTTTAAACTGACCCATAAAGAAGTCCATTTTCCCTATAGACTTTTCAAGCTTTATCTCCTATCATGTCTTCCCACATACCCGCTAAAAGCTAAGCTTAAAAACTATAGCACAGTTTCTCATTATTTGGTGCCTTTCTTTAGGCAATTGCCTATTTGGTCTTTGGTTAGATTCTATTTACCCTTCCGTTATTAAAAACGGGATGTTCCTAGTTGAGTGCAGTGGAGCACACCTGCAATCCCAGTCCCCCAGGAGGCTGGGGCAAGAGGATTTCAAGTTTGAGATCAGTCTTGGCAATTTAGCAAAGGCTTAATAAACTTAGCAAGATCCTATCTCAAAATGCAAAACAAAAAGGAATGGGGATGTAGTTCGGTGGTAAAGCACCTCTGGATTCAGTCGCTTCCCTCGCCCTGCCCCTACCAAATAAAGAATTGGATGTTCCTAAAAGCACTATTTCATGGAATTAGAACTTTTTGTTCACATCTTTCTCCCTTCTGCTGGGTTGCAAAATTATTGAAAAGTTGTGGACTTTTCACCTTTCAATTCTTCATGTCCAGCAGTGTCACAGTATCACCATAGTTTAATTCTTGTCTATTCATCTAAAGAACAAACCAACAAACATCAACAACAAAACCAACCATCTCACCTTTCCCGGTCAAATATTAGAGGATATTCATATTTTTTCCTCTTGTCTGCCAACTTGCTTTCTTCTTTTATTTCTATGGGAGCTTCAGTAACATCACAAGGCAAAATGAAATCACTGGTTTGGGATAATTCAAAGAATCTTCTCTGTCCAAAATATCCACAATAATGACCATTGAGGGCATGCCAGAGCCTGAGAGAAGACCAAGGAAGGGAGGGAAAGTAATTGGGGAATCAGGGGAAGTGATTCTGTTCATAGATCACCTGTGTAGTTTTTGGGGGTCTACCAAGGATTTAAACTCAAGTCCAAGTCTCTTCCTACAAATATTGTGAAACCTGATCATTGTGTCAACTTTTCTCCTAACCTAGGGCCTCAAGCATGCTAGGCAAGTGCTCTGTCATTAAGCTACATACCCAGCCCTCAATGTAAACATTTTTATCAGTTAAAACTCTAACCCACAACCTTTTAGGGAATGTCAGTTTGAATCTATATTTGTGATACTCATTTATCAAAGTTAGAAAACAAAGAACATATTTTCCCCCAAACAACCCTGCTCCCCTTCAAGCTAATCAGTATCCACATTGACTGTCTCTTGGTCAAATTAGGCCTATGTCTCAGCTGCCTACTTATGAATCAGTACTAAACTAGTGAGAGGAGAGACCTAGAGATGCTTTTAGCAATATCAAATTCCTTTCAAACTCCTTCCACAATTCCTACTGTCATGGAGAACCATATTAATTTTTATAGATGAGTTCTGATATAGGATGGCAAAAGAAGTAGGTTTCTACCCATATGTATTATTTCAATATCATTTCACTCCACATGACTTAAAATGATATAGAATATCATTAGTGGAATATGTGCCTGATATCTTGTGGAAAAACAAAATATCATCAAAAAGATCTTCCTTGGGGGCTGGGGATGTGGCTCAAGCGGTAACGTGCTCGCCTGGCAAGCGCGGGGCGGTGGGTTCTATCCTCAGCACCACATAAAAATAAAATAAAGATGTTGTGTCCACTGAAAACTGAAAAATAAATATTTTTTTAAAAAAAGATCTTCCTTTTATATCTTGATTTCAACCTTAGAGCAGGAAATGACAAAGACAGCAATCATATGCCCTGCTGCAATGACTCAGAAAGTGGACAAGCTAAAGGAACTAAAAGTAAGTAGATTCTACAAAGGCTAAGCAGTATCCTACCCTAAAGAGTAGTTACTGAGAAGACAGAAGTGGAGGTGTCAGTCTGGACTCCTCAGATGTGACAGTGTCCTGAGGACTTCACATGAACATCTTACATCCCTTACATATTTTAGTTCCTTAGCACTAAAGGGAATGAGATGGTCCTTTAACCCAATAAATCCCAAGTTGGCAATTCGGTGAATATTTCAATGAAATTGACACAAATGCTTTAAAATAGGTTAAAAATCATAACTTAAAGCTTATATATCCTTTATATATATTTCATATATATGCGGAAATATATGTATTAAGATACATATATGCGTGTATATATATATAATATATATAACATATATTATCCTATATATGTATATTCAAATGCTCTAATAATTCACCTACTATTTTTCTCAAAAGAATAGAACTCTAAATACATAATAATTAGCTCAAATTAACATAACAAATTAATACCTTTCATAGTGGTTTCTTTGTTGCTCAATTTAAGCTTTTATAGGTGTGCCACATCTGTGATAGTGGACCCAAATGGGTTAAACACAGAAGTTAGAAGGTTGAGGGACTAACTTCAGAACAACTCTAAATTTATTCTGCTTTAGACCTTGACTGAGTAACGTTTGGTCTCCTTGTTTCTTGGTGTTTCCTTCTTCATGTGGTGCTTTCCCAAGCAACTGTTTCTACTTCAGCTTTATTTCCTGTATTGTGGACTCTTGGCAAACTTGAACCACACTGAAATTTTTTCTTTACTCTAAACTCCTATTCTATGTCCCAGGCTTAAGCCTCAGTTTATGTTTATTTCCTACTAAAAATCAGAATCTTTCTGACAAGATTTAGAGTATTAAAATTCCCTGCCTTTTTAGATAATGGCAGCTCATATGAGCAAAAAGATGGCTTAGTTATGAAGAGAGCTGTAGTCTGAGATTGCTATTAATAAAGCAAGGCTCTTTGAACTGAGTTTCTAAAGAGATTTCTATTTAAAGGAATCATCAAAGTAATTTATCCATGGCATGGATAGCTAGTTTGAATAGTGCTATAGTCTGAATACTACTCCTCTTATTTTAACTTCAATTCTTTTAAGAGCATAATTCATTAGCATGATTTTAAGATAATTCAAATAGACGAGCATGTCTTAAAGCCCAGTGGCTCAGGAGGCTGAAGCAGGAAGATTTCAAGTTCTCAGACCTTAACAACTTAACCAGATCTGTCTCCAGATAAAATTTAAAAAGGGAGGGGGATTTAGCTCAATGATAGAGCAACCTGGGTTAAATCCTCAGTACCACAAAAATTGAAAGTAAAATATAAACACCAATTTATCTCTAGAAATGTTATGATATTTCCCTTTTTCTCTGAAATATGTGTGTATGTTTTTAGTATTTTGTGTGTATGTACTTAGCATTTTATAGGTAATTAAAAACAAGTAGGTTTTGCTAAATCAATCACATTGTTAGTGAATTAATTGGCTCATAATTTACTTTCCAAGTATTAGATGATTTTGTTAGTTTTTTTTTTTTTTTTGTACTGTTTATTATTTTGAGAAGGGATCTTCCTGTGTTGCCCAGGTTAACTTAGAACTCCTGGGCTCAAGCAATCCCCCGTCTCACTTCTCAAGTAGCTGGGACTACTAGTGCACATCATTGCACTCAGTTAGATGGTCTTTCTATAGCTGTTTTATAACTTCTAATCCTAAGCCTCCTTTTGTGGCCTTTCCTAGGCTTGGGTTGAGCTCTCTGAGCTGCCTATCTGGTTTAATTCTTTGAAATAATTCTACAAAAGAGTTGCATTGAAAACATTTATTATTACTTTTAAATGTAGATGAGCATAACATTTTGTTTCCTTGGATACAGAAAAAAAAATTCCAAATCAACGAGTCTTCTCAAAGCCCTTTTGTGTCACCTTTCATTTTTTATTAATTTATTTTTCTATTCGGCTTACCAAGATTTTATTTTAACCTAATACTTCAACATTAGCATAAATCCTTTTGTTCACTTCTCGTACTCAAAACCCTGAATTCACAGTAGGAAACCATCTTGGCCTACCTTATTGAGCCATCAACGGAAGCAGTAAGCACCACTTGCTTGTCTTCCACATAGATCACTTGAACAATTTCTAAAGAATGAGCCCGCCAGGAGAGGAGCTGCCTGAATTTCTAGATAGCAACAACAAGACATGTCTCTTGGAATAAGTCAAGAAATACAATGTTAAAATTGTTCTTTTAAGGAGCAGTCTTGGTTGGGTGCGGTGGCACACACCTGGAATCCCAGTGGCTTGGGAAGCTGAGGCAGAAGGATTGTGAGTTCAAAGCCAGCCTCAGCAAACGTGAGGTGCTAAGCAACTCGGTGACACTCTGTGAGGATGGCCTTAGGAATGAGCCTAAGCAACTCCATTTTAAAAACTCCAGTTTGAAACCTGCAGTCTCACTAGGCGCACCCACAGAGCCCTCCAGTATGGCCTCAGACAAGTTACTTCCCCTCACCCTGATAAATAGAGTGAAGCCCCTGGCAGACTGTCCTTGCCTGATAACAGGGAAAGGCGAGAAGATCAGGGTGGAGACCACCAGGCCAGATATTTCTGACCCCAGGGTAAAAGATGTCACTGAGAAATCCAGTGGTAGCGGATAAGGTTGAAAGGGGGGTCAAATTAAGCATAAATAATAGAGCTGATGAACAGGGAGTCAGCCAGTTGTAATAGGATGCACTCGAGCTGGAGAGCCTGATAAGGACCTAGACTGGCATCCCATCACTTGTCATCATTCCTGATCCTCTGCTTGATCCTCACCACTCTCAAACTCTATCACCTCATCTGGACCTTGGTGAGAGCCACAACTTCTCCCTATGACCCTCTCCTCAACCGGTCGTCCACTCCATGCCAGGAAAAGCCTGGCTTGGTTCCAGGTCCAAGTGAGTGTGCATCTGTTGGACATAAAGTCTAAGGCTTAAAACTTTTTAACTTACCATGCAGAAGGAATGTCTATCATTAGCTTGTCATGATTAAGTGTGTTTTGCAGTGCTTAGAATTAATCTAGAATTGTTTGCTATGAATTAATTAATCTAGAATTGTTTGCTGTGAATTGATTATGTCTATTGCAGTGCCTAGCATTAAGGATTGTCGTTTTCTTGATTAAGAACCTATAGAGTGAAATTGTATTGAGTAATTTGAGTGAATAAAGCATTGAAAGGGGCAAAAACTCGTGGACATTCTTTGTTTCTCCCCTCAACTGCATAGGTCACAATTTTGCCCTATCTCTAAGACCTATCTCTTTAGACCCTATCTCTAAATAAAATACAAAAGAGGGCTGAGGATGTAGCTTAGTGGTTGAGTGGCCCTGAGTTCAATCCCCGGTACTCCCCCTCACCCCCTGGGGGGGGGAAACATATTTAAAGAGCAATGTTTGAATGGATGGTATAAACATCTGCACTAAGTGGTTAAGTCCCTGGTCTCTTGCTTTTGGAGGTACCCAAATTTCCAACATTAGCAATTTATTAAGTGCAAATACCCCTGGAAGAGGAAGTATTTTATGTCTTCAGCAACTGATCATGGAATTGAAGATTCACAGTTCTTTTAGCTGATGGGCAATAGATGACTACATGAAAGAATTGCCTTGGGAGAGGGCATGGGGGAGAATGGCAGAGAATATTATCAGGAACGAGATGACACAGAGCTGGTAGGGGAAGGTCAAAGGTAAGTCTGGAATAAAGAATTTTGTTTGCAAAGTCCATCCAGAGAAAGCACTGGCTACTTTGTTCTTCATTTGGAGTGTGTGGTAGGAGGTATATACTACACAGGATTAACAAAAAGAATGGGCCTACCACATTCTCTTTTAGAAACATTCATGAGGCTTCATTGGTGTGTCCCTTCAGGTTTATCCTCAAGTCTGGAGCCCCTGATGAGCCTCAAGACATTCCTAAATTATGTGAACTAGAATTATTAACTAGGGGGCTTGCTCTGCAATAATACACTTTTTTGAATATGTCCCTATCACTGATGAACCCACAGTAAGACCATACTGCTTCCACAGTTCTGGTAGTTTAGAGTTCTCCTATGAGCCTCCTATTCATTTAGACTTTAACAAGGGTTAGGGACAATTCTTCCTAAATTTCATGACCTACTGATTCAATTTTCTCGGGCTTTTCTTAGAGAAATAGGGTAAAATCTGCATTCTTCTACTTCACATTGTTTCAAAGCTGTCCATGAATATCTCGTCATTCAAGATTTCTTTCTCTAAATGCCATCTAAGGCAAGTGTTTCTCAAACATGGACCATAGATATAGTAAGACAGACATTTGACTTTACAGTGCAGTAAACATGTGCATATTCATGTATCTGAAACAATTTTCACAGAAGGATTCTTAGCCTATGTAAAATATATACTAATATTGTCTATGCTATTGCTTTGCATTCCATTTTCTTCCATTTTTACAAAACTAATGGTTGCAACTCATTAAGTTTATTTCAGTGACCCCTTAATGGATTATAACCTGCAATTAGAAAGCAGAACTGTCTTTTCCTGAAGTGCGTGTATATAACCATATGTATGTAGGAGAGACCTGACTATCCCATCTTTTAGAATTTCCGTATTCCACAGAGCTTCTTTTTAATAGTAATATTAGGAATAAGCAATATTAACCTGTGATTTATAGATTTTTTTGTTACAGTTGTAACCTATAGCTGGATCTGGCTTATTTCACACATTGGTATATGTTTGTCTATGTAATGATGAGACATTTTATAACCAAGTTCTGTTGTATATTTACAAATAGGCTTCCATATACAAACTGGATAATCACATTATCCAAGAACAGAAAAGGCTGAAATGAGATTGAACATGGTAGAATTTAAAATATTATCAAAATAAATTATTTTCTTCTAATTGGTGATAATGTTTTGAACTCATACAATATTGATAATTATTACTTGTAGGAGAAAACAAGTAGAAAGTCTTTTGCTATAAATGATTCAAGTACATAATTTGATTTTGTTTAGTTTATAGCCTGATTTGATTATAAGCAATCTGTGGTTATTGTAAATGAAACTTGGTATTTCATAAGATACTTGAACCTTATTGATTGTCATTTGGTAGCACTAAATGTTTCAGGTGGAAGGATCATTGAACTAGTGAACAAGAACCCTGTTCCTGGCCCTGACTTCATCATTAACTGCCAGTGTGATCTCAGGAAATCATTCTGATTTACCTTCTGCAAGGTGGAGAACATCAAACTAAAGCAGAATATTCAAACTTCATAAAAACTACACTGGATTTTTTAAGCAAAAGGAAAACCTCATTGATCAAGTGGATTAATATTTTAAAGAATAACCATTCTAAGACACTCTGCAAGGAACCAATCACATTCAGTACATCTATGTATTGCTATGTAGGATTAAAAAAATAAAACAGTGCTTATTTAAGCTAATATTTAGCTTTTGGATTTGAAGTATTAACTTAAAGATAAATAAGACTCTGCTAAAAACAGTTCTTCCTTAGTGCAATTTAGTTAATTTTGGTTCTTTACCTATAATATATGTACTATATTAGATATTTACATTCACACAAAAAGTGCATACTTAAGTTTTATAAAATAAGAATGGGACATTTACATCACTTTAAATCTAAAATAAATTAAAATCTTCTTGAATTAGAAGAAGATTTACATTAGAGAATAGGAAAATTTTCTTGAAAATAATGGTTCTGTATTAGGCTTGCAAGGAAATATTATGGAATATCTTACAAGGTCAATAACCTGACTGGGGATGAGTAGATGATCTATGAACCTTTTTAAACTCTGATTTTATACATAGATCCTTACAAATAAGTCAAAACATGAGGAAGATGTAAAGTGACCAGTGGCTGGCTTACTCAACCTCCCAACCCCCACTCATTCATCCCTCTTATCACCAGCAGTTCTTTGTCATCTAGCTTAAATTGCAATAGTATATGTGCCTTAAAAGTAGGGAGTCTTGCAGTTCTATCTCTTTTGGAGTCTTACCCAGAGAAAAGCTCAATAAATATGTGCCAATTCATTTATGAGAGTGGAAAACTAAATTTCATACCTTTTCATCATGAGGTGGGTCCAGGAAGGAACTAATACTGCAAAGGATAACATGTCCTTCTGTATAAAATTTAAACATTGGAATCCTTAATCAGATACCACATTATCTAAATAAATACTATGCAGAAAGTCAAATCATTTTGACGTAGGCATTTATATTGGTAAATAAAAGGGAATCTGAGAAACCGAATAGGAAAAAAAATTTTTACTTAAGTTTTTCTATGACGCTATTATTTGGTTTCTGAATTAGTATGCCTCAATAAAGTTGTTTTATCTACTCAAATTTTTTTCTAGAGATCAAAGTAGATGATGATAGAATGAATATACCACTACTGAATTGAGTCCAAACAGTTACAGAGATATTTATCCTGTAATCCAAATGAAGTGGTATAATGTTATTTGAAAGTGAACATGGATTAATTGTAAATATACATTGTAAATTCTATGGCAACTACCATACATATTTAAGAAAAAGAAATATAATTGATAATCTCAGAAAGGAAAGAAAATGAAATTACACAAAATGCTCAATTAAAACCACAAAAGTCAGAAAATGAGTGGCAGACAGACACAAAGATAGAAACAAAGAACAGACTGAAAACAGTGACAAATATAGTAGGTATTAATCCAACTTAAAATGTAAATAGTCTAAGTACACCAATTAAATGGCAGAAGTTGTCCACAAAAAACACACGTTAAATATAGACACAGATTAAAAGAGATGGAGAGAGACGTATTGTAGTAACACTAACCAAAAGAAAGAAGGAATAGATATTTCAGACTGAGCAGACTTCAGAGCAATGGAAATTATCAGGGAGAAAAACTTTATTTAATTAAAAGAACCCCTGAAAACTCAACAATAAGGAAATGAACAATCCAATTTAAAAATGGGCAAAAGATCCGAACGGAAACCTCACAAAGCATATTAAAAGATGATCTAGAGAATACGTCATTAGGTAAATGAAAATTAAAACAACAATGAGATGCCACTACACATCCATTAAAATGGCCCAAATTCAGAACACAGAAAATAGCATGTGCTGGTGAGGATGTGGAATAGCAGGAACTGTCTTTCATTGCTGGTAGGAATGAATAATGGTAGGGCCAGAGTTTGTCAGTTTCTAATTTGCTGCTTTAACTGAAAAGACGTTGTTTCATTCTAATTTTCACAAACTGATTAACCATTTTAAAAACTTAAAGGTAAACACTAGAAAAATTAAAGATTGCTTAACATATGAATCTGCATTAATGCACACATAATCTTTCAAAGCACAGAAAAAATGATAACAAAGGAAATTTAGGATTAATTCAAAAGACAGAAGAAGAGAAATAAAAAGGAAGAATAAAAAATATATTATTAGATGGAAGAATTAAGAGCAACTATATTAATATTAACTTATATAAAAAAGCCCCTTATTGAGAACCAATAGCCATATTCTTCTCTAATGTATGTCACTACTCCGTTTTGCAATAAAGATTAATGCAGTGAAGAAACTTTTTAGTTTACCATCCCATTTATTGATTCTTGATTGTACTTCTTGCACTTTAGGAGTCTTGTTGAGGAAGTCAGTTCCTAAGCTGTCAAGACAGAGAATTGAGCCTACTTTTTCTTCTAGTAAATGCAGGGTTTCTGGTTTAGTACCTAGGTCCTTGATCCACTTTGAGTTGTATATTGGGAAGGGTGAGAGATAGGGGTTCAATTTCATTCTACTAAATATGGATTTCCAGTTTTCCCAGCATCATTTGTTAAAGAGGCTATCTTTTCTCCAATGTATATTTATGATGCCTTTGTCTAGGATGAGGCAACTGTATTTACGTGGGTGTGTCTCTGTGTCTTCTGTTCTCTTGGTCTTTTTTTTTTCCCAATCCCATGCCAGGTTTGTTACTATAGCTCTGATAAGAACTCAAAATATACCAAAAAAAAAAAAAAAGCCCACACACACACACAAAAACAAAAACAAAAACCCCCAAAATAACCAAAATACACCAAGAAAACAAAATACACCAAAACAAACAAACAAAAACAAATGGGCAAAAGAACTGACCAGGCACTTCACGGAAGAAGAAATACAAATGGTGAAAAAATATATAAAAAAATTGTCCAACATCTCTAGCAATTAGAGAAATGCAAATTAAAACTACACTGAAATTCCATCTCACTCCAGTCAGAATGGAAATTATAAAGAATACAAGTAACAATAAATGTTGGTGAGGATGTGAGGAGAAAGATACTCTCAGAATACATTGCTGGTAAGACTGCAAAATGGTGCAACCACTATGGAAAGCAGAATGGAGACTCCTTACAAAAGTTGGAATGGAACCACCATTTGACCCAGTTATCCCTCACTGCTTGGTCTATACTCAAAGGACTTAACATCAGCATACTACAATGATGCAACCACATCAATGTTTATAGCAGTTCAATTCACAATAGCTAAGCTAAGCTATGGAACCAACCGATGTGTCCTTCATCAGATGAACGGATAAAGAAATTGTGGTATATATACACAATGAAATAATACTCAGCCATAAAGAAGAATGAAATTATGGCATTTGCTGGTAAATGGATGGAAATGGAGACTATCATGCTAAGTGAAATAAGCCAATCCCAAAAAATCAAATGCTGAATGTTCTCTCTGATATGTGGATGCTAACACACTACAAGACAAGGTTGGAGGGGGAAAAATAGAAGTCCATTGGATCAGACAAAGGGAAATGAAGGGAAGAGAGTGGAGAAGGGAATAGGAAGGACTGTAGAATTAATCTGACATAACTTTTCTAGCCTTGTATTTGAATACATGACCAGGGTAACTCTGCATCATGTACAACCACAAGAACAGGATCCTAATTAGAATAAGTTATACTCCATGTACATATAATATGCCAAAATACATCCCATTGTCATGTATAACTAAAAAGAACAACAATAACAACAAAGAACACACACAAACACACACAAAGAAGATTAATACAACATAAATCTTCAATTTTAGAAGGTAAAATTTTACATTATTCCCAATAAAGTAAGGTAAAGTGATTGGTAGCCATATACCCCTTTTATAGGTGGAAGAAATAGAATGGCTTGCTTGAAGAATTAGGAAAAAAATTGGTTCTCCTGACATTTGTTTATTTTTCCATTTCTTCAACATGCTATTCATAACTTTCTCATGCTTGAGCATACCTGTTAGACTTTTTTTTTTTTTTATCTCACTAAACATCACACATTTTTCCTGTAGTCACTTTGGTGAATGATTGCTAAGATATCTGTGGCTGATATAAAAGTAATGACTTACCCACATTTCCAGCTAATAGAACCCTGGAACATGAATCAGCATACAGCGATGTCAGAGAAATGGCTGAATGTTTTGTGAAAGGGAGTATGTCTTTCAGTAGTTTCCCCTGAATAAAGGATAATGAAAGTAAGGTTGTTATAAATTCTACAAATAAATTTTAATAAATTGAATTTCTCTCTATGTAATACATCTCTTCATCTCTAGTACTTAAACATGATTCTCTTCTTCTTTTAATAAAATAGTTTGAAACTATCCACAAGGACTTAGTTCTTTGAAATTAAATACTCTAAAGTTATAGACAACTATTAATTATGTATGTAGACTCTGATTATTATAGACTGCCTCTAAATTTGGGGTTTCCTATGATTCTTCATCCTGTTCCTCAGATAGTATTTTCAGTTACATAGTCACTTAAATGTTAATTTTAGGTTGAAGTGTATCTCCACTGGTTTTCACATAAATACTTGCCATTTCAGAAATATCTATTTTTTCAATATTGATGCAAGATAAGGGATTGTGAGAGATTCAGATTCACACAGATTGTTTTTCAGTGCTTAGTATAAACCAGCTCTGGGAAGGACTTTTACACATGTTAACTTGCTTTGGGAATAAACATCTAAGCTTGAAAACAAAAAGTTTGAATCAGTTCTTTATTTCCTGAGACTTGACTTAAATATAATCTTTCTCATGTTTCTCTCACTCTCTCATTCTTGAGCATACCTCTTAGACTTTTTATAGATCTGAGATGACCTATTTTTTTAGGGAAAAAAAAGGTCATCTCAGATATATTTTGTATTTTCACTAATAAGCTAGAATCCACGAACAGACTTGGAGTTGATCTAGGAGGCAGCCATCTTGTTCTGTTGTTGGATTCCCCCCATGTGTCACATAACACTTTTGCTACTTCCTGAGTGTCCCTAAAGCAAAGAACCTTATTACCACAGTGGGTTTATTCCCTCGCCTCTCTCAGGGATTCACTACCCTGATCCTCAGACTGCTAAAGATCCTTTGTTAATCTGTTGTCTTCCTAATGCCTCTTAATTTGCCCTCTTAATTTGAAATGCCCACCCTCAACTCCAATAATTTAAAATCTTTTGGTGAATAAAAATTATTATTTTTTATAATAATAAAAGAAAGAGTGAAATATTAATAGTTTTGATGATTTGGTCTCTTGAATTACAAAACTGGCTTATTGTAAAGTTCAAATAATATGATCATAGCAGGCTATGAAAACATCCAGTTGGCTAGAAGGATGAAAAACATTAGAGTTGGATGCCATATGGAAGAAGACTAAGATTTATTTAATTATTTTATTTATCTTTCCCATTTTTCCTATTTCCAGGAAACACTAAGCTCCATTACCTCCATAGTCCATAAGCGGAGGTGTCCATCCTCATGAGCAGTAACAAGGATAGGAGGCTGAACTTGTGTTAAATTGGCAGATCCAGGTTGGTTTTTGTCCACTGACAGTTGCTCTCTCTCCACATTTGTTTTCTCACCTATTGAAGAAATTAATGAGCTATAAATGGTATTTGCAATACTTGGAATTCTACATTTTATGAAATGTAAAGAGGAAGCAGGAAAATAGCAAAATATCACATTCTCTTCCCCAGAATTTTTCCTTCCTTCCTTCCTTTCTTTCTTTTTTTTAATTCAAGAGAACAACACAGGGCAGGGAATAAAAAAGTGTTAAAAAATAAAATCCTTACACTAAGGGAAATATGCCAGACTTTGAAAATCAAGGGTTGAATGTTTCCCCTCATACATGGAAGCAAGAGCAAAGTAAGGAAGGGAAAGGAGGTAACATTTCATAAGGATAGAGGGAAGATCTGTGGAGTAGGAGAAAGAAATCAAGGGGGAGGGAGGAGGGATGGGAAAGGGGAGAAAATGCAGAATGCATTTAACAGAATTATGCTATTTACATATATATTACAGTGAATTATATATATGTATATATATATCACTTAAAAATAAGTAAATATATAAAAGAAAAACCAGTAGAGTAGGAGGAGGAGAGATGGGGGAGGGAATGAGGAAAGGAAATGTTCTGGGGACCAAAATGGAGCAAATTAAATTCCATTCATGTATGATTTTGTCAAAATAAGCCCAACTATTATGCATAGCTATAATTCAATAATAAAAACATTTTTAAAAATAAAAAAAATGGAATCCTGGATCACTGAAAAACTTTAAAAGGTTTATATTTTTTATCCTATAGCAAAAGCCTCTATTTACCGTATGTGCCAACTAGTGTAAATCCTAACACATCCAGAATGGCTTATGTAGAGGTTTGAGGAAAATGGGCTGGAGATTAAGAAGCTCAGTAATGTTTTAGATGTTTTTAAAACCTAGAATTTGTATTTTAAAAGGCATTATCATAACAAATTCTACCTGTTGGGCTACCAAATCCCACAGCATCTCAACATTTGAGCACAATATTCATTAAGAGTATTCTGTCAGGTAAAGTCCCTGCTACAAAGCAGTAGCCAGGGCTGGGGATGTGGCTCAGTGGTAGAGCACTTGCCTAGCATGGGGGAGGCTCTAGGTTCAATCTGAAACACAGCAAAAACTTAAAAAAATAAAAGAAAAGAAGGTACTGTTTTATTAAGAAGAAGAGAAGGGACACTGACCTTTCAACTCACCATCGTGTATGCTTTGCTTGCTTCCCTGAATGAGGAGAGAAGAGCAAGATAAAATATTTCTTGACATTGTAAGGAAATAAGACACAATAGATGAGCAGATTTATTTCCTTAAGCATTAATTTTAAAATTAGTTCTTTGAAAAACTGTATTGCAGAGATTTTCATGTTCATAAATAGGGAATCCATAACCCAACATTTCCTAGTGGGTTCAGGAGTAGCATAATAATGAGAATCATTAAACACACAAAACATGCCATGCCCAGTTCTTGGTATACATTATCTCTAATTCTATTGACAGCCAAATAGTTTAATCTTTATTATTCTCTTTTTACTGATGAACAAACAGAAACTCAGATCATGTGATGTGACATCTCTACAGCTATCCAGTTACTAACTGGAGGACTTGGATTCATGTACAAGTCTTGCTTTTATATCTATCTGAATAAATTTATTCTTTCACCATGCCAGCTATTTTAAAATAATTTATGCTGCGAAAACTTTCCTTTGTACAAAATCCTAATTGGAAATACAATGTATAAACCAAGTGTGGTGGTGCATGCCTGTCATCCCAGTGACTCTGGAGGCTGAGGCAGGAGGATTACAAGTTTGATGCCAGCCTTAGCAACTTAGAGAGGCCCTAAGCATTTAGTGAGACCCTGTCTCAAAATGAAAAATAAAATAAGGGCTGAGGATGTGGCTCAGTGGTCAAATGCTCCTGGGTTCAATCCCCAAAACCAAAATAAATAAATAAACAAAATATAATGTGTAAAAATATATACATTGAAATTAAAAACCACTACATTACATTATGTTATCATTATATCATGTAATCTCTTCTTCCTGTAAATTGTAATACTTTTTAGCAAATGAGATACTCTAAAATTAATTTGTTATTTTATGAATGCAAAAGTAATATCACTTAACTTACTTTGTTAATGGTTATATATTGATTATTTGCAGATGGAAAAGCTTTGAAAAAAATTTAAAATTGAAAATGGTGTAGATATTATTATGAAAAACATACTTTTGACATATACACATCAAATTTTTCCACCTTTACTTTCCTTTAAAGGAAGGAAGGACTCAGATGCTCAACATCCTATTTTTGAGCCAACACCAAGTAGAACAAGAAGATACCCTCTCTACTTGTGGCTTACCTTGCTACTCTGTGGACCCTTGCTAGACTCACACTGGGATGAAGAGCATATGGAATCCTGGCTTGATTTCCTATAATGGAAGGAAGGAAACCCAAGGATGAAAAGATACTATATCATACTCCAAGAGTATCTTCTGCTTAACTTTCCATTGATTGCTTCTTGTATCAGCTGTGGATACCAGGCCCTTCAATTATGAAATTTTGTGTGACAGACATTCAGTAGTGTGGTGGAGACTCCTGGGGAGCTTTTAGCAGCTAAGGTGTATTGCTGCCTGGGTCTGGAAAAAACAAGTCTGATCTGTCCTACTACTAAAGCTGGATTTACTCCCAGAGGCTTTGACACTGAAATGGCTGGGGATGGGGTGGTTTTGGGTAGGGTCTGACAAGCCTGGCTAACTTCTTGCACTATAATGGTCAGTGCTGGCTTGATTCTGTCTCTGCAGTGGTTTGCTAGCATGGACCGAAAAGTGGCTTAGGGTGCTGGTGCTGGTGCAAATGAACACAGTGGAAGTCTTTGAAATATTGTCCAAATTGTTTTGATGAAATTTCAAGCCAAGAGGTAGGTAAGGTATTGTATTCTGGCTCACCAGTGGGTGACCTCAAACTAACATAGAAACTTTTTATTTCTTCTCTGGAGATGTGTTTAACATTGTTTATTGCCCCCAAACCAGAATTCTCAAGCCAATATACTTTCTCTTAAATACTTATAAAACAAGTCTTTGTTCTTTCAGAAATGGATGGAGATTGCTCAGTGATATTGAATTGAACGTGAAACCTGCAGTTTGATCTTCCATCCCTGCCTGGAAAGTTCTAACTTTAGCTTTACATCGGTGGTGACAGTGTTAGATGTTGGCTCACAGTGTGGCTGAATGATGTAAAGGAGGCTGTGAAGTTGATATGGTGAGGGGACCATACAGCACATTAGGTCCCTGAGGACCACTCTAACTGCATAAAGACAGTGACAGGAAAAAAAAGCATTGAAGCTGAGAAGTCAACTCAACTTATGTCTTCCTCCAGTTGTCCCCTTCTTTAATACTAGAATGAAGAGAACTCTTTTTTAATGTCATCAACATAAGTCCCAGATAATACTACTTGATCCATAAATACTAATTACCTTGCACATTCAGGAGTACGAAAGAGGAACAGTATGTCATTAATCCTAAAGCGCTTGGGATCCAAGTCAGGGTCCACATTGAAACAACCTTCAGGTCGATACCTGAAAATCAGCATGCATTTACATGATAAATTTCTCAAAGTAGATAACTTGTATTATTTTTTTAATATGGAATGCTTCATGAATTTGCATGTCATCCTTGAGCAGTGGCCCTGCTAATCTTCTCTGTATCGTTTCAATTTTAGTATATGTGCTGCCGAAGCAACCACAATAACTTATATTATTTGTACCATATTTCCCATGCAAATATGACCAACTCCCAAAATGTTGATGACTTTGAATATAAAGAAAATCCAGGGGCTAGGGTTGTGGCTCAGAGGTAGAGTGCTCTCCTAGCAAGGCCCTGGGTTCGATCCTCAGCACCATATAAAAATAAATAAATAAAATAAAGGTATTATTAAAAAAAGAAAATCCAGAAATTTTAGGGTTTGAATGTTTTCTTTAATAAGGTTCTGCATAACCATATTATCCCTTAATAGTTTAAAAGTCTTAATTCAGTTAATTGGACTGGTTCTCCTAACTATAGGTCAGAGTGTCAGTTTGTATAATCCTGTGGTGGAAACTACTGGAAGTATCATACTGTTTAAATAATAGAATTATACTCTCTGAATAAGTGGAGTGACAAATTGGAATTAAAAGAGCTTACAATTTAGTGGAGAAGAATAGGCATTTTAGAGATTACATTGCTCCTGTTTTTCAAGTCCCCTGATGCTCCAGATTGTAAGGAATGATACACCATCCTAGGTAGTGGCCTGAGTGAGACCAGAGCAACTGTGCCTAACTGCCTGAAAATCAGCATGCTTGGTTCCAAAAGTAACACTTTTAATTCCTTATAGCAAATAGGCCCTTTAGCAAAATCCCCTTTTCCAGAAATGACTTCTGCTAATTTGAGCCAGTGAGGGAGTAGGATCTGAGATGTCCTTCAAAGGCCATATGTTAAAGGTTTGGTCCTTGGCTTGATGCTATTGGGAGCTGGTGGAAATTTGACTAGGTAAGGCCTAATGAGAATTTTCTGGTCAGTGGGGCATGCCCTTGAAGGGCCAGTGGGATCCCACTCCTTCCTGGCCTTCATTTTTGCTTCCTTGCCAGAAGATGGTTTTGCTTCAAGCAAAATGGCCAAATGATCATAAACTGAAACCTCTGTGAGCCCAAATAAAACTTTTCTCTTACTGACTATGTCAAGTATTTGTTAAAGTAAGGGAAAACTGACTAAGAGAGATGAAGTAACCAAGTTCAAAAAATAAAGGATTTGGGCTTGATGACTTGTTGGGCTCGAAATTCTTAGGTATTTCTGCTTTGCAGATAAGCTGAATACATTAAATACATTAAAATCATTCTTAAGCTGAAATACATTAAAATTATCAAAAACAATATTGAAGCCCGATGTAGTAGTACATGTCTGTAATTCCAGCAGCTTGGGAGGCTGAGGCAGGAGGATCACAAGTTCAAAGCCAGCCTCAGCAATTTAGCAAGGCCCTAAGCAACTCATTGAGACCATCTCTAAATAAGACATAAAAAGGGTTAGAGACATGGCTCAGTGGTTAAGTGCCCCTGGGCTCAATCCCTGGCACCAAAAAAAAAATGAATTTGGGCCTCCCCAAAACATGGATTTGGGAGCAGAGAGAGAGAAGGCTTATTTCTCCTGAGAATATTCTTAATTTAAAGGAAGAGAGGTCTTAGGCAAAGTTTAAGGTAGAAGAAGAAATGGCCTTCACCATGAATATGGAAACTATTTTCAATTTAAAAGCAAATTACCTTAATTATATGTTTTGAAAAATACTCCAGTGGTTCTCTATCAATTGTTTTTCTATAATTATCAGCCTATTAGAAAGGGACGCCATATAGAAACCACAAAAATGAGTTGCTTTTCTCTCTGATTGGGTGTTGGAATTGCATGCATCTCTTGACAAAATACCAGGTACGCCAACAAAGAGGATCTCTACCTTTAAATTGAGAATGTTCTCAGGAGAATTGCCCACCCTTTCATCTGTGGCATCCATACTGGTCTTCTAAGTCTTATCTACTTTCCCTTCTTGGCAATAAGTCACTTACAGTGCAATAAATATATTAATTTAAAAAAAGGTGAGGCAGTGTGCCATGCACATAGATACAGATATCAAATGAGAGTCTGCAAGAAAAGCTCCAGGGCAAGGTTGAAGAGAAGGACCGGAAGGACCAGAGGATGGCAGAAATTGTAGGGACGGTCCAGGAGAACATGGACTGAGGTGCAGAGTGTAGGGTCTGAACCTCAAATATTGACTATTGCAATTAAAGCTTCAAAAGAGAATAAATCCAGAGTCCCAATGAGAATTGTTTTCCTTTCAAAAGTTGTCTAAAAGCAATGATTCAAACTTGGACAGAAAAAGAGCATTAAGTCCAGATAGGCCAGTACTATGTAAGGTACTGTAGAGAGGCAGAGATTGCTTGTGAATTTTCCTCTTCTGCCTCATCTGTTCCAGCTTTCTTTTCTCCTATCCTTCATACATCTTCCCTTCCCTAAGGAATTAGATAATCTTTATATTTTAATTTAATCATTAAAATTCTTGGCCATCTTGTACCTTTAAATAAAATCTTACAAACCCCTTTGACATAGAGTGTCCACACATGGTCCTTGTAAGAGTCCTAATTGGACAACTGGGGAATTATTATTTACAATCCATCTGAACAGATAATACAATATACATTGGCTTCTTTATAACCAATGGCAAAAAAATTTAGATATGAATGGCAGAGGAAGATTTTGGTCATAATATAGAGCATCTCAATCTAAGTGCTTTCGATTAAAAATTACACCTGACACATTAGCCTTTGCTAGCACCATTCCATAATAAATTGGATGTGTTGGGGTGCTGAATGAGACATAAAAGCCCTAGGACACCTCTCACCATTTGACTTTGGAAATCACCAGTTGACAACTAGACATGTGTTTGAAATTCTGGAGATATTTGTGTTTGAAGTTATTATGTATTTTAAGTATTTGTCAAAGTGACAAGTTTGGACAAGATCACACATGAAAAGATCATATAGGCATGTGAGGAGAGTATAGGTCAAAGTTTTTAGAATATAGATACTTAAGGTTTACTGTGTATATATCATTCTAGAATTCGAATGTAAGGAACATAGTCTTTTCATGACCATAAACTCCAGGAAAGCCTCCCTTAAGAGTCATCCCCACTTTTATCCATTATGTTTTGTTTTGTTAAGCATTGTCAGTTATTTTGACTATTATTATTCAGTAAACCTTTTATATTATTTAAGGCAAAAATACAACTTACACTTCTTTGACAGTAGATGCTACAAAATTCCATAGGATGATTATACCATTTAAGGCTCCAGTAACTATCAAATTATATCCTTCTCTTTGTAATAAATCCATGCAGCTCACCTCAGTATTGATAGCAGGATTCTAAAGAAAGAAGAAAAATGGCCTCATAGTTAAGAATACAATATCTAACTGTAGTATGAATGTCGTGTGAACAAGTTGTAATTGTCATCAAGTTAAAACAAAATGTCTTCTTAAAACTGTTTAAGTAAAATCTAATGAAATTTAGTAAAATCTAATCTAAAGTTCGACGTTCAATCTGAAATTTTTAAATTGAAAAACTCATTAAAACAACAAAAATATGCTCTCCTTCATGCTGGTTCCTTTCTCTCAGCCTTGATTTATTCTTCTTTACCAAACATTAGATTACCTTTCTACCTTTCTCTTCTCTTCAAACTTGTTGAAAGAATACTCTGCACTAGCTATTTTTCACCGACTGACCTTTCTTTCGATCAGCAACCCTAATTGGCTTCTGTTCCATATCATTGTGTGGCCCTTTTTATTTACCATTATTTCCATTTCTATGTGATACTTTTCAATTATCTTGTCTTGAGTATTTGTTGGGCATCTTATGTTCATAGACTATGAAGTCAAACAGGTGATTGGAGAAATGCATAATAATGTAAAGTATTCAGATGAAGTATTGATTACCACATAATTTTAAAGCATTCTATTAGAGGCATGCATAATACTTGATGGTTAAGGGAATATTGGGACCCTGGCCCCTTCCTCTCTCTTTTACTTCCTGCCACGAGGTGAGCAGTTTCCTTCTCCAAGTGCTTCCATCATGATATTCTGTCTTATCACAGGCCCGAAAGCAATAGTGCCAAGCAACGATGAACTGAAACCTCTCAAATCATGAGTCAAAAATAAACCCTCCTCCTTGAAGTTGATTTTCCCAGGTACTTTATCACAGCAATGAGAAGCTGACTAATACAGCTTGTGTCTCTTTGGTCCTTCTTTTTCTGTTTTCTTCTTGGTATCCTCTTAGTCTGCCAACTTTTAAAATGTCAATACCATTAAGGTTTACCTCCAATACATCCAACTCTTTCTGGGCAATCTTATTACCTTATGTTTGAATCATTTATCACCATGTTAATGACCTACAAGCTTCAGGTTTGAATATTTAATCACCAATTTGAACCTTTACAGATATCTCAAAGTTAATACATCTAAGTTATTGCCTGATTTAAGCATGTTCCTGGCGCTGTCCGTGAGTCCTCTCCCAATTATTTGGCATTCATCATTAATTAACTGATGGCCAATTCTGCTACTTTATTGACTAAATATTTTTGGAAACCTTCCCTTTCTCATTATGCTATCATGATCTTGTAACTTTCAAGTCAAACAATAGCCTATTGCCTGAATTTTTGTAGTTTAATTGTCATTCAAATCTGCCACCTAAGCAGCATCAAATGTGAGCAATCCACAACACAATGCGATCCTGCCATTTCCCACATACAATTCTTTAGTGGCTTTTCATCTCTTAAAAGATATTCAAGCATTTTACCATCATGAGCACCATCCAGTCCATATCCACTTTTTTTTTTAAATCTTCATCTTCTACCTCTCCAGTCTTCCTTCAGCCACACTGAGATATTTGTAGTTATCTTTCTCTGACTGAGCAATATTGAACCTCCATAAATTGATCATGTTATCTACTTCACTTGGGATTCACTCTATCTTTTCACATCCCTTTAGAAACCCCTATCTGGGCCAAGCTAACTCCCAATAATTCTTTATATCTAACTTGGCAATTATCTTCTTCAGGAGCTCCCCTCTCACCACAGCCCTCCAAGTTCTCTGCTGTACTCCGATAACCCAGGTACTATATCTCATTAATCTTGACATTTCCAGTGTTAAGAGATCAACATGCTACATGGTAAGTGCTCAGTAAAAACTGATTTCTAAGTGAAAGAGTTTTTTGGAAAGAATTTCCACATAGACTCCAATTTTTTCCCAGGTGACTTTTGCATTTTCCCTAAAGAGTAATTTTAAAATACACTGCACAAAGGAGGTACTATAATGTTAATTTGATAAATACCCAAAGTAAGAATTCAAAATCAGAGATACTGACACTTGCATAAAATCCTAGAAGGTACTTCCATTGTACTTCAATAATTTATTATATAATTTATAAAATACTTTTTTCAAGGTAATTGTTTTCATTACCTATGCAATTACTTGCCATCTCCTTTGGTTCTGACTTATTGTACATTGATCTTCATTGTGTTCTTATTAGCTATAAACAATGTCTCATACATCAATTACATATGATTGAACCTAGTGTTTCCAGTGATCCACAGCATTGGAAGAAGAAGTAGGATAAAATTACTTTATGTGGAGGCACATTTTGTTCTATTTTTTGCACACATTTTTTGATAATGTTATTATGATCTAGGCACTATATGTATTAATTTCAAAGACGTTTTAGATAACAAAACCTAGTTATTTAAATGAGCGATGACTGGAATTCAAATTGCACTGCTATACTGACATTTGTTTCATTATGAATAAAAATCATATCTCTTTGTCATATAATAGTTTCAGTTCTATAAAACAAGATATATTATTCTCTCTTAAATTATGTTACAGTTTATTCACTAATGGTAGCAGGGAAAACTTATGATTACCATAATTTTCTTCTTTTATAGCATGCAGTTTTTATTGACTGACCATTTATCCCTGTAAAAGCTGAAAAGTATGAGTGGCTTCAGTTAATATTAAATAAATGAGGCTAATGAATATTCTCATTTTAAAAAAATCAATTTGTTTAATTTTTATTCTTTTTCTATCTTCCCCACATTTTTATTGGTGCATTATAGATGCACAGAATGATGGGATTTGGTGTTACATATTTGTACATGTGCACAATATAACAATATAATTTGGCCAATATTGCTCCCCAGCATTTCTCCCCTCTGGTCTAAATTTTTATAGAAACAAAGGGACAGTTTCCTTGCTTCTCCATCCATCAACCTCCAGCATCTGCCCTGGACACTTCATAGCTCAGGTATGCACATATGCATCTGCCTGGTTGAGGAGATACAAGCACCTCATAAAATCTCTTTCTAAAGGGGTTTTAAGAAGTTGTCAAATTCAATACATTCATCCACTTCTGAGATATTTTGAAATGAATTTGAACTTTAGTTAGCAGTTATAAACCTTTTCTTGATCACAACACTTCAAAAATCTTTTTAAAAGTTAAGGTGGAATTTTACTCACCATAAAAAGGGAAGAGTTACTGATACATGCAGTGATACAGGCATACCTCAAAAACATTATGCTAAATGAAAGAAACCTTACATATAAACTATAGGATTATACTTATGTTGCATTTGGAAAAACAGATTTATGGTGAAAAAAATTGGAGCAGTGGTTTCCTCTGGGTGAGAGGCAGATGCTGAGTAGGCAGGGACATGGAAGAGCTTTATGGGATAGTGGTAATGTTCTTTATCTTGATAGGGATTTGGGTTGTACGTATTTCTCTTTAAACTCATTGAATAGATGCTTAAATTTTGTGCATTTTCTCTTATGTAAATTTCACTAAAAACAAACCTAAATAGTGAACTCCAGCTAATGATGCACATGCCAAAGTGTTTAGGGGTGATATCTACCTTTGCCTTCATCTTTTCTTCAAAATATATTTTTAAAATAAGGTGGCCTGAAGGAATCATAAATATTGTAAAATTTTAATGGTTAAATTTAAGTGAAATGATATAGAGGTGTTCACTGAAATAATTTTATATTTGAAAATTTTTGTATTAAAATGTTGGGAGAAAATAGCTATGAACCTTGCACTCCTGAGAAAAGAATTTGCATACAATTTCACAGGCTTTTTAGACTCCAGAAGTCTACCCATGGCCAGGGAGCCCCTGAATCCCAGGGTAAGGATTCTGGTTCTATAACTTGAAGGTCTATCATTAAGTACATGTTAGGATAAACATGTTTTTCCCCCTGGGTTAGGGAAAATAAGACTGGTTCCTTTCATTATGCTTACAATTTTGGAATTTAGACTATCTTGAAAAAAAAATAGTCCAATAATATTATTTTCTTATTTATATTTTAAAACAGCATTGAAAAGGGCAACAACAAAACAAGGCCTTTATAATTAACCATATGATGCCATCAAAGCAGGATGAGAAGTTTAAAAGGAATGAAACTTTTGAAAAGAATAAAGTTCTATCAACATTGAAAAAAATCTAGATGAAAATATATGGTATAAAAATAATAATTGGCAAAAAAAAGTGAATTACCATTTCATGATCTTTTGATATGGTCCCAAACTTACTTCCTATTAAAATCCAGAAGAATTTAAAAGACCTTGCGATTTTTATTTTTTTATTGACTTTTTAACAAAATAAATGACAGCAGAATGGATTACAATTATTATTTCACATATACAGCACAATTTTTCATATCTCTGTTTGTATATAAAGTATGTTGACAACTATTTGTGTTCTTCATACATGTCATTTGGATAGTCATGTCTCACATTCCACCCTCCTTGCTAACCCCCTGTCCCCTGTCTTTCCCTCCTACCCCTCTATCCTATCTAGAATTCATCTATTCCTTCCATGACCTTGCTACTTTTAGAAAGATTAGTTTAAATAGGTAGATAAACAGATGATATAAATGATAGAAATGATAGACTGAGAGACAGACAGGATTCTATAGTGAAGAACACTTACAAATTGTATCTTAAGTACTTCCTGATACCAGAAACTCATCTTTACCTAGCTTCCTAAAAGTTGGTATTGCCTTGGCAAAAATGATCATACACAAAACATTCACACTAATAAGAAACTGGAAAGACACTTGGAACTTACATTGCAAAGGACTAGTATCCATAATATATATCCCTAATGATTTATACATGGGATAATACACATACATACAAAAACATGTCATATATAATTTCTAGTAAATGAAAAGCTTTTACTACATCAGAAGAAAAGGAGCAATCTAGGTAGAAAAATGGGCAGAAGATATGAACAATTGGTCCACACGTGTGTGTGTGTGTGTGTGTGCGCGCGCGCGCGCATGTTGTTGCCATTTTTAATGCTGTTTTAAATTATAAATAAGGAAAGAATATCATCAGACTATTATATATATATGTATATATATATAATTTATTCACTATATACAAAATAAGTGCATGTAAAATATAACAAGTTATAATTTTTTTCATGTTATATTTCATGCTATATGCATTTTACCATAATTTTTTTTAAAAAAACAAAGACCAAGATTCCTAGAGTTTATAATAATCTCCAAAATAAAATAATACTAAATAAAATAAACTAATAAACTAAAATAACAAAGGAATGATTTTATATATATATATAATCATATTCTACTATGGTTATTCTATTATGGTTATTCTATTATTTTCCTAATAAAGGATGATAGAGAACCAAGTATGGATAAATATTTGGTTATATTAAAAAATAACATTAGAGACATAAGTTAAAACAAAAATTAAAAATAAAGAGCTAACAATATAGGTTAGGGAGGGAGTAGGGTGGAAGGACACAAGTAGAAGTTAGATCAGACCTTGTTTTTTATCTTGTAATACAAGTTGTTTCATAGATTTGATTTTGGAACTATTTAAATGTTTTACATAATAATAAGAAAAGTTAATTTTAAAAAGCAACTTGGGTGTCTGAAGAAGGAGTACTGCAAGTTGAGGTCAGCTTCAGCAATTTACCAAGAACCTTAACAACTTAGCAAGGTCCCAAAATCCTGTTTCAAATTTTAAAACAAGTTAAATAAAAAGAATTGAGGATATAACCGAGTGACAGAGTGCCCCTGGGTTCAATCTTCAATACTGAAAAAATAAAGCAATACATAAAAAAAAAAACGAAAAAAGTAAATTTAACTGTTTGCAGTGTTGGTGGCACAAGGAATCCTTTCAAATAATTTTAAAACACAGTACATTCCAAATTATATCTACCCTAAGGACAAAAAGAACTCAAAAAAAGGAAGATCTTAAATTGTTCAATCTATCCTATTTCTAATAATTTTATTGCTTTTCTAAAACTAAAATATAACACAAAATACAATAACAATAAAATATTATATAAAAAGCATTATATAGTATATAAGGTTTGGTAAATAAACAATAGGATAAAGCAAATATTTAATTATATGAATGTCATTAGGAACAAAGATTTCCAGTGAAACGGAGATATAAAATAAAAACAGCCAAAACCATCTATTCTTAAATTTGAATTGGAAAGATCAGTTTGAGCTCATCATGTATTTTCTCTTAAAAGGTTTTTCTTTGCTCTGTCCAATGAAAAGCTGAAGACCTTTGAAAAGTTATAAAAGCAAGAATCAGACTAGTGGTAAAAGACATCTCAATCCCAGACTATGATTTTTAAATACTATTTCCCACTAAAAAGAAGAAGGGCTTCTTGGAGTAGCTTATAGATCTGGAACAAGAGATACACAGATGAGCCTGGATTTTCTTCTCATACCTGGAAGCTATCCAGAACTTCTGGGATCATGTCAAAAGAAATCCAGACATGATCCAAAGCTCCAACCATGTTGAAAGAGGACAATCTGGGCATCAATAATAGTATGACTAACTGAAACACATCAAAAACATTTAAACTTTTGAGTTGACAATGATACTAAGCAAATAAAATTCACTGGCCACCTTCAGAAGATGCTAGGAAACCTACTCCTTATTTTGAATACTAAAAAAATACAGAGAAAGTTAATTTGCTTTCCTGTATCAATTGTATCTTCACTATAATCAAATATTTGATGAAGGAGGGTTTTTCTTTAAATACACATTTCAGTAATAAAGAAAGCCTAAGGGCAGAGAGGCAACTGGAAATGAAATAATAGCCCTAGGTAATGATCATCAATGGATTCTGACACAAAGTCAACCAGTAGTTCTGTCAGTCTTGATGGAATAATATCATCACAACATACTCCATGATAGAGATTTGTTAAAGAAAAAAACAACAACAAAGTTATATGAAATTAACCAATTTTAATTCCCAGATTGCAGGAAGTTCAGAACCTAAAACGATATCATAAGGATGCAACCAGAAAAACCCAGAAAGTGAGAAAATATGGAAACAAATTATTAGGGGAGAAAAAAGAAAAACCGAAAGGCATTTATATATTAAAACCTATTTAAACTGGGTGGGGTGGTGCACACCTGTAATCCCAGCAGTTTGACAGGTCAAGGCAGAATGAGAGAAAGTTAAAAGCCAGCAACTAACTTAGCAAGAAAGGCCCTAAGCAACTTATCAAGACCCTGTGTCAAAATAAAAAATAAAGAAAAAATCTGGGGATGTAGCTCAGTGGGTAAGTACCCCTGGGTTCCACCCCCTGTACTGGGAAAAAAAATAAAAGTTATTAAATAGATTCTCAACCAAATGAAACTGAGGTGCCTTGTTTTGAACCTTGTTTACTTTAAAACAAAGTAAAATAAAAAAAGGATTTATGAAGACATGTGGGGAATTTGAATACCAAAAGAATATGTGAAGATTTTAAAGACCTTTTGTAAATTATTTTAGAAAATATTTTAGAAAATAGTAGTATTGTAATTTTTGAAAGAGTCATTGTTTAGAAACAGATAACTGAAACATTTAGAGGTAAAATGACATAATGTCTGGAATTGGCTTTAAAATCTGTAGGAGATGATCATAGGAAGATTGGCAAGATTAAAGAAAAAAATGGCCATTCACAGAAAATATTTGAGCTGAGCAATAGTACATAGAAGTTCATTGTATTATTTTATGGACTTTTGTATATATATTATTTATGATTTTCAATAACTAAAAGGAAAAACTAAAAAAAGTTAAAACTTGAAACTTACTTTAGTATGTTGAGAAAATTTTCTCTGAACAACTAACTCAACATCTGGGAAAGGAATATCCATGTTTCTATTTTTAGATAAGGTCTTCAGATGTATAATGTGGTTTCCATCATGTAGGTGAGGCATAGGATCAGGTAGCTCCCATATCACCACAAGGAAAGCATCATCTTCCCTACCCTTTAGTAGAAATTCAGGGAGGGCATAGAAAGTTTAATTAATTGGTTTTACTTTGAGCTACTTTAAAGAATGAAAAATAAAACATATACTGCCGTATCCATCATCCAGCTTTATCAAATCTTAAGCCCTGTGAATCCCTTGCTAATATAGTTCCTCTTTCTTTTCTAAGCTCTTGAAAGGGGAATCTTTGTGACAACAGACATTGTTAGGAAGAGTATCCTGATGACCAATTGTTTTAATAATTGATCAATTGTATTATTCAAAAGAAAGTTGACTTATCCTTGTGCTTTAGAGTATGTTACTAAGAAATTCCTTTCTACAGTACCATTTTGGATTGTGAAGACGACAAAGGAAGAGTATTGAATCAGGGAACTGCTTTACTCCTTGCCCTAGCTAAAAGATTATTAGTCATCTTAATCAATGTTGCTACTGCATGATTGCTTTCCTATTCAAGACTTGTGTGATCTTAGCTTCCAAAAAGAAAATAATAAAGGCAATGAGTCCTTGAATTCTAACTGACAGGGTAAGATCCACTCAGCAAGGATAAATGATGTAGCCTTCATTTTAAATGTGAAGAAGGCATTAGTATTCCTAGGTGGTAATAGAGTCACAGGAAAAATAAATTAGCCTATCTCAATTCTCCCAAAACAGCCCTGAGCAGATTGCATCATTAACCTTAAAATAAACAAAGCAATTTTGGTGACAAATGGAAAAAGTGACTTGAGCATCTCTGAATGCATTATGGGTTATAAGGGACACAGCTTGCTGAGGAGCAGTTCCAGGAGCAATGAATTAATCCCAAAAGAGGATATAAGCAATGTCAGAGGTGGGTAGCTGTATGTAAATTTAACCTTCCTGATACTGGCTTTAGAGGATCTTGACTAACTCTGCAGCAGAAGCTTGATGGACAGGATACTGTGCCTGGACAGCTGTTCTTTCTGCTTTTTTGCTTGGACCTGGACACAGTTAATTAGCAGTCTCACAGAAAGTCTAATAGATAAACACTATATTCAGTTGGCTGACCGGGGAGGAATTACATGATATTATTCACTAAGAACTTTGGTTCTCCCAAGAAGATCACCTATAGCACAAATACAAAAATATAACCATAAACCTGGATCATTTTGATAGTTCCACTGAGCTCCAAGGCAAGGATCAAGTACTGGCGTTTTTCCTGAGTTTTGAGAAAAATCAGGCGTTTCAGCCAATGCTTTTCCTCTTTCCAGTCTTTCCCTTCTGGCAACGCTTTCATCTCTTGCCCACTGCCGAAGTCCCAGATTTTAACTGTCCCTGAGCACACAAGGAAAAGACTACATGAATAACATAATTTGTGGAAAGCTTGGCTTTTAACTCAGAGCAAACTGATCTGATTGAAAGCTGTCTGCCAACAATTTATCCTACATTTATTTCTTACTAAGATTGATAAGTGAAGTTCCCCAGGCTTGCTGTGCATGAAATATATTTCTGTATGCCTTGATTTGTCACAGGCTGATAAAACCCCAATAGGATCAGGCAGAGTCTCTAAATTTATGACCGTTTTTATTATGGTTTGGAGAAGTGCCCCCCCCCCCAAGGCCCATGTGTTGAAGACTTGGTCTCCAGCTATGCTACTGGGAAGTGGTGGAACCTTTAGGAGATGGGGTCTGGGGAAAGGAAGTTAAGTCACTGAAGGAGTGCCATTGAGGGAGACTGTGGGACTCTGGACCCTTTTGATCACTCTTTTTCACTTCCTGGATGCCATGTTCCTGCCATGATGTCAGCTCTTTCACCACAGTCCCAATCAAGCAACCATGGACTGAAAGTCTCCTAAACTACAAGCCAAAACAAAACCTTCCTCCATATAGGTTAATTATTTCAGGTGTTTGTTACAGTAACAGAAAGCTGTTTTCTTTGAAACCCTTAGACTCTTCTATTTGAGTTTACTTTCTTTTCTGTTGATTCTCCCCATGCTTTTTTTTTTACGATACGACTTTTTCATTGTGGTAAAATTTACATATAATGAAATTCACATCCATAAAAATATAATTTTAGGAGTTTTGACAAATATATCCCTCATGAAACTAATGTCTAAACTATGAAATGGAATATTCCATCCCCCAAGGAAATTATTCCCTGTGCTTTGCAATTCATCCTTACTCTCGTAGGCAGCTACTATTAGTTTTTCTTTTTTTTTCCTTTAATTTTTATTGTTGGCTGTTCAAAACATTACATAGTTCTTGATATATCATATTTCACACTTTGATTCAAGTGGGTTACGAACTCCCATTTTTACCCCATATACAGATTGTAGAATCACATCAGTTACACATCCATTGATTTACATATTGCCATACTAATGTCTGTTGTATTCTGCTGCCTTTCCTATCCTCTACTATCCCCCCTCCCCTCCCCTCCCCTCCCCTCTTCTCTCTCTACCCCCTCTACTGTCATTCATTTCTCCCCCTTATATTATTTTTCCCTTTCCCCTCACTTCCTCTTGTATGTAATTTTGTGTAACCCTGAGGGTCTCCTTCCATTTCCATGCAATTTCCCTTCTCTCTCCCTTTCCCTCCCACCTCTCATCCCTGTTTAATGTTAATCTTCTTCTCATGCTCTTCGACCTTACTCTGTTCTTAATTACTCTCCTTATATCAAAGAAGACATTTGGCATTTGTTTTTTAGGGATTGGCTAGCTTCACTTAGCATAATCTGCTCTAATGCCATCCATTTCCCTGCAAGTTCTATGATTTTGTCATTTTTTAATGCAGAGTAATACTCCATTGTGTATAAATGCCACATTTTTTTTATCCATTCGTCTATTGAAGGGCATCTAGGTTGGTTCCACAGTCTTGCTATTGTGAATTGAGCTGCTATGAACATCGATGTAGCAGTGTCCCTGTAGCATGCTCTTTTTAGGTCTTTAGGGAATAGACCTAGAAGGGGAATAGCTGGGTCAAATGGTGGCTCCATTCCCAGCTTTCCAAGAAATCTCCATACTGCTTTCCAAATTGGCTGCACCAATTTGCAGTCCCACCAGCAATGTACAAGTGTACCCTTTTCCCCACATCCTCGCCAGCACTTGTTGTTGTTTGACTTCATAATGGCTGCCAATCTAACTGGAGTGAGATGGTATCTTAGGGTGGTATTGATTTGCATTTCTCTGACTGCTAGAGATGGTGAGCATTTTTTCATGTACTTGTTTTTTTTTAATTGGTTGTTCAAAACATTACAAAGCTCATGACATATCATCTTCCATACATTTGATTCAAGTGGGTTATGAACTCCCATTTTTTACCCCAAATACAAGTTGCAGAATCACATCGGTTACACATCCACATTTTTACATAATACCATATTAATGACTGTTGTATTCTGCTACCTTTCCTATCCCCTACTATCCCCCCTCCCCTTCCCTCTCATCTTCCCTCTCTACCCCATCTGCTGTTGTTTAATTCTCTCCCTTGTTTGTTTTTTTCCCCCTTTCCCCTCAAAAACTCTTATATGTAATTTTGTGTAACAATGAGGGTCTCCTTCCATTTCCATACAGTTTCCCTTCTCTCTCCCTTTCTCTCCCCCCACTCGTCTCTGTTTAATGTTAATCTTTTCCTCATGCTCTTCTTCCCTGTTCTGATCTTAGTTACTCTCTTTATATCAAAGAAGACATTTGGCATTTGTTTTTTAAGGATTGGCTAGCTTCACTTAGCATAATCTGCTCTAATGCCATCCATTTCCCTGCAAAATCCATGATTTTGTCATTTTTTAGTGCTGCGTAATACTCCATTGTGTATAAATGCCACAGTTTTTTAATACATTCATCTATTGAAGGGCATCTAGGTTGATTCCAAAGTCTAGCTATTGTGAATTGTGCTGCTATGATCACTGATGTGGCAGTATCCCTATAGTAGGCTCTTTTAAGGTCCTCAGGGAATAGACCGAGAAGGGCGATAGCTGGGTCAAATGGTGGTTCCATTCCCAGCTTTCCTAGGAATCTCCATACTGCTTTCCATATTGGCCGCACCAATTTGCAGTTCCACCAGCAATGTACAAGTGTACCCTTTTCCCACATCCTCGCCAGCACTTATTGTTGCTTGACTTCATAATGGCTGCCAATCTTACTGGAGTGAGATGGTATCTTAGGGTGGTTTTGATTTGCATTTCTCTGACTGCTAGAGATGGTGAGCATTTTTTCATGTACTTATTGATTGATTGTATGTCCTCCTCTGAGAAGTGTCTGTTCAGGTCCTTGGCCCATTTGTTGATAGGGTTGTTTGTTCTCTTATTGTCTAATTTTTTGAGTTCTTTGTATATTCTGGATATTAGGGCTCTATCTGAAGTGTGAGGAGTAAAGATTTGTTCCCAGGATGTAGGCTCCCTATTTACCTCTCTTATTGTTTCTTTTGCTGAGAAAAAACTTTTTAGTTTAAGTAACTCTTATTAAAAAAAGGTCTTAAAGAAAGCTCCCTCATCCCTTCCACCATGTTGGGGACAAAAAGTTAGCATCTATGAATCAGGAAGTGGGTCCTCACCAAACAAAAAAATCTGCCAAGGCCTTGATCTTGGACTTCCCAGCCTTCAAAATTGTGAGAAATAAATTTCTAATATTTATAAGCCAATCTATGGGATTTTGTTATATAAGCTCAAACAATTTCTGTATGATCAGCTTTGTTCATTTGATTTAGGGATGAAGGAGCCAGAAGGGATGATAATCAGTGTAGTGTTGAATGCCTATTTCTAATTTATTACTATGTAGCAAATTATCTTCCCAATGGGCTCTTACGGTGGTCACCACAGTTTAGAGTCCATTGGACTTGCCTTCTTGGCACTTTTCCTCCCTTCCTTTAACCCTACCACCTACCTCTTCCTATCTCTCTAGCTCTTATTCCCCAGCTGTAATCCTCTTGGATATCCAGAAGGTTTTCCCTGTCTATTTTCCTTCCCCGATCAGTGATAGTCAAACCTTATCATTTGTTCACTAACAACATTGAACATTGATTAATGTTCAGGCCCTACAGGCCCTGTACTGTGGGAGGACCTTTGGATATAAAATGAATAGTCCTTGAGGAGTTTATGGTTTCATAGGAAAATGGTCATACAAACAATTAAGAACTTATCATGTTTTCCTTCATTCCTGGCTTAGGCATAACCACAGTCCCATGGCCCAGATTTCCTTCTACCTTGGGATATGGGCCATCAGATTTAGTAATGCAGAGAGCAGGCAGAGGTATAACTCTTCCCTAAGTGGTGGTTGGGGCAATAGTGAGAAGCAACTGATGGCTCGTGGGCAGAGGTCCATAGGGAGTCAAGGAATCCTACTTTCTGAGTTGTCCTAGATGGAGAATCCTTGTCAATTTAATTAATATACCTCTGTGAAAGAGAAATTGCCAATATTTAAAAGAATCTTAGATTGGGGGGGGGACACACTGAATTGACTATGCCCTGCAGTCCTGATGTGTCAGGTTCTGACCAATCACTGCATTCCTTGTGGCTTGGTCGGAGACTGGCTTGGATAGCAAGAAGGTCTTCTTTGTGGGTGTGCCCCTAAGGTTGAGTTACACTCACCTGTTCCCTTGTAGTCCTTCCCCTTCTGTCCTACTATGGATAGAAGGAGAGCTAGAGAAGCCATCCTGAAGCTTGTGTAAAGGTAAATTGTGTTTGTGTTTTATTTTATATCCCTGCAAATTCATAGGAGCAATCTTAGTTCAGATGCCCATGCTGGTCAGGGTGGCATTATAGGACTAATGAACGTGGGTGCATGAAAATACTATGACTCTCTGTCAGATATTGAGTTGCTTGATCCTTATGCCTGATAATAATTGTGTATGTCATTCAGAATTTCTATTATTACCAAGTTTTCTATGTATGTAGGGTAAGCTTATGGCTTATTCACACTGCTTTCTTATGTACTGTTCCATATGAAAACCAGTTGCATTTATTCATACCTCATTGTCTCAGCATTAATGATTGTTATTTCATGCTGGTTATCTTCTGCTCACTTTCAAAAATCAAACTTTCCCATTAGATTACTTACTTAGTCCATCAATTGGCTTGTAAATAAGCATTTGTTTAGTAAATATGTCCCTAGAATCAACACATTCTGAGTTGCACATTCAGTTGGCCATGCACATAAAGCACACTTTTGTGGGAATTCAGAACAAGGTAAGATGAAAGGTGGGGCAGTCAGTAGCTTTCTAGTTCCTAGAAATTCTATGCAGTGCTCCACAGCTTGAGAAACACAAAATAAAATTTCACATCAGGAGCCTGACATTTTCCTAAGTTTGACATGGCATATGCCCTCAAGGAGTTTAGACATAGAAATAAGTTCAATATAAAATTCTAGGCATGCTATGCCAAGGTTGGTCGGATATTTTCTGGTCCAAAAAATTGGATCTAATGTCTGGTTTTAGCTGATAGTACCCAAAAAATAGGATAGAATGAGTCAGTACAACACAGATACTTTCTACCAAAGATTAAATGAGATGCTGTATGTGACAGACTTTTGAATTAGTTACAGCACTATACAAATGCAATATTATTTTTAACATCAATATCAAGACATGTCTATTACACATAAGAGACTCTATCATTGTTCATTGGGGCAGAGAAAACTCTGGCACGTTTACACGTTCCAGCCTGATTCATGTTCTTTCTTCAACCCCTAAAACTTGTATTCCTAGCACAAATTCTCAAGACATTAAGCAGGGAGGCCATATTCTGGATATTAGTCTGACCATTATATGCTCCTGTGGCAAAAAAATATCCACTTTCGTCAACAGCTGCCGAAGTCACTTCAATACTGAAGCCATGAGGGTCTAGAATCTGGTATATTTGGAGGCCTGTCTCAAGTTCCCATACCTATAGAAAAGAATGACAACCACAAAATCAAGTAACCCAATACATATGCTTTTCAATTCTTAACAAAATTTTACCATATTCAAGACAGCCTCCAAATTTGTACTCTGCGTTTCTCCAACCTTTCCCAATCCTCTGCCCTAAGGGCTGGTTTGATCAAAGAATGTTGGTTTGCTCTGAATAATGCAGAGCTATTTAAATGTTATTATGCTGTCATGGAGTATGCCCGCTATAAATGTAGATGGCAGAGGCAGCCTGCGGCTTCCATTTCAGGCAGTCTCTGGCTGCGGGGAAAGTAGTCAGTTGTTACTTGCTTTAGTTTGGGTTTTCAGTTTCCCCCAAAGGCTCATCTGTTAAAGGCTTAGTCCCCAGGGTAGGTGTTATTGGGAGGTAATGGGACCTAGTGGGAGGTTTTCAGTCTTTGGGAATGTGCCTTGAAATGGATCTTAGGACATGGACCCTCCTCTTCCTTTCTCTTGCTTTTTGGTGTCCATGAGGTGAGCAGTTTGCTCTACCTTGCACTCCTCCCATGGATGCTGCTTCACCCCAGTCCCAAAAGCAATGGGGCCAACCTACCTTTGGACTGGAACCTCCAAAACCATGAGCCAAAATAAACCTTCCCTCTTTATAAGTTGGCTGTTTCAGGTATTTTGTTATAGCAATAGATAGCTGATTGACACATTACTGTAAATGTGAAGTAAGGTTAGCAGCAAAATAAAGATGTAACAAAAGCAAGGCAGACAAAAAGATCAAATTGGATGTATTCCTGTGACATACATCCAAATGAGGCAGGGATCAGGGGACAGAATATGTGAACAGCTTGCTATGTGAGAGACTCCTAAGGAAAGAGCTCGCTAATTGTTTCAAGTAGTTCTCTAACTAGAGACACAAACCTAGAGGGAGAGGCAAAGAGAGAGAAGGGTAGGGCAAGACTCAGAGGGGTCCATCTGTGAAATTAGGCTGGAGGTAATTAGAAAATCCAGAAATGTGTCAAAATTCATCTTTACCTTTCTTTGGTAACATAGAAGAAGCTAGAAACCTATATTTGTAGACTTGCTCTCTGAATTTCTCCCCCTTGTAAATCAAACTTCCAACCAAATTACAAAATTTAGCTAGCAGTACTAGGTGATCACACTTGAGATTTTGGGGGGTGGGCAACTATACAAAGGGTCAGAGATGGGAAAGTGTATTTTTCCTCCAGGGAAAGAGAGCTGTTACAGTTAAGTGATGGGACCATGTGAGGAGATGTAACTGATGAAATAGTCTGAGAGCCAGAAAATGGAGAGCCACTGGCTGAGAAGTAGTACAGCCAGGATTTGAATAAAGTCACCCTGGTCCTACAGCTCATGTTCTCGACCTCTGAGTGTCCCTGGGTATAGACAAGGTCTTCAAAGGAAAAAGAAAAATCTTGGTCACTGCATGAATGGGTTTTAGGTCATCCATCTCCAGCCTAAAGTACAGTCCCTCTCCACCCAATCAGGTATACACTCTACCTAGATGAATTCCTTTTCTCTCTTTCGTCCCGCACAGGGAGGACAGTTTCCCCTTAAGAGGCCATTATTGTAGGAGAGCAGAACAGATCTTAGTTTTACTTTTTGTCTAGTTACTTTCTTTTAAAATTATCCTAAGTGATGATTAACTAACTGCACTCAGGAGCTCCTTTAGTGGTGTGAAAATTTCCAGCAGATGTGCACAAAATATCAAAAATTGAGAGGGAATTTGAAGGGTTTCTTGAGGAATGCATTTTACCAGTTCATGTGTCTCTCTCCTCTTAGAGAATATGTGTGAAATACCTGTTGCAAAAAACTCTAGCTATTGATGCCAGGCAATAGCAGTGGTTACTGACAGACACGGTTAGCACAGCCAGGTATCCCAGCCTCTGCACACAGCAGCAGTGGAACTACCGGGGTGGAGCATAAAAGTCAAGAGGATTTACATCAGGCAAACCTGGGTTCATATCCCAATCCTCATGTTTACTAACTATATTATCTGGGGGAAGTCACTTCAGCTCTGAGCTGAACTTCCTTAAAATGGAAGTTTTCATCTGTCCACAGAGAGCTTTCATGAATTAAATGAAATCATGGACAATATGCTCTTGGCATCCTCCTATAGGGATCATAGAAACATATATCAATTTTCTTTCCTTCCTTCTCAGCATGCACTGTCTACTCACAGCTCAACTGTGAATGGAAAAAATGGAATCAGGCTAGTTTTCCCTCCTTGATATATTTCCTTTTCCATTTCTAAAACGATAGTGAAAGTAGCTTTATTTATTCAAATAAGCATGTGACTTGGTAGCAAGCAATATGAGCTGGCTTAAAATGCTTGTTTTTCGTGTATTCATTAAAGCTTAAAAGGAGTTCCAATGTGCAATCTCATCATATGCACCACTACATTTACTTAGTCATGCAGTGATTTATATAATCACACAAAGCAGAGAAAATTCCATTTGCTCTGCCTTTATCTATTGAAAGAGCCAATATATACTCACCTTAATTATGGATTCAGAACAGATAGTGAGTACTTGGGCAAAATATGTGTTATAAAGTATGACGTTGATTTCTCGATCATGAGTGTGAGGAACCTGTTTTGTATCCTGTATCATCTTAGTTAAAGGATACATATCTATAACACTTGATCCTGAAACAGAAGTAAGCATCTCATAAGTACTCAATATTAGACCTTTGGAATTTACCCAACCACAATCAGTGAGATTAATAATATCAACACCCAGGAAATTTAAGAAGGTGAAAATATATCCAATTACTCTACAACATTTTTGACAAATAAAGCATTTATTTTGAACTTCATTATTTTTCAAGTGCAGGTCACTTGGACTTCACTGACATACCTTTGCTAGTGATCCCCAATTAAAGCTTAAAAGGAGTTCCAATGTACAATCTCATCATATGCACCACATTTACTTAGTCATGCGATGATTTATGTAATCACACAAAGAAGAGAAAATTACATTTGCTCTGCCTTTATCTTTCAAAAGAGCCGATATGTACTCACCTTAATTATGGATTCAGAACAGATAGCGTTTTATAGTACACTTTTTCCTTTCTCTATCATGCCTACTAATGTCCCTTCATTTGGTGCACAGCAGTGATGGGAATGACCAACTTTCTGCTGAAGGTGAACTTCTAATAAGTGGTTGAAATTAGTGTTAGAGAGTCCTTTTCAACCAACAAATGATAAATAACTCCGTGAGTGCGATCTTACTAAATATAATGAATGGGAATAATTGTAAGCCGGTGCTTGCAATATCGGTAAGAAAGGTTAATTTCCAAAATGACATAGTGACAGATGCAGTTAGTATGGTCATGAGATGGAGAACAGGGATTCTTGCACTTTTAAGAGGGCATTTGGTTTGGTTTTATAGCTGTACTATAAATTTCAAGTATTGACTCTCAAAATCAACTAATGGTATGTTCTGTTTTAGTGTAATATCTAGAAATATTAATAACAATATCAAAGCATCCTGTCATTAAAATAAATATAAAACTTCTTCCCCATTTTATTGAGGTAGAGATTAAGTTACCAACAGCAGACTTATTTTTCATTTAATTTTTCAAATCTTTCCAAAGAAATCTCCACTTTAAAAGTTTTAGCAGGAGTTACTAAACACTTTCCTAAGGTGCTTACATTTTAAGAAAAAAAATCTGTTTATGTGTGAAGAAAGACTGAAATGGTTCATCTGGAAATATTTCTCAATTCGAATACTTCAATATGGAAATGTGAGAGGCATATGGTAACCAGATAATCAAACCACATTTGGAACTTCTTGGTAGATCTCTTAACATTACACTGACAATAACTAACTTTATTTAAAATTCACAGCAACAAAGCTAGATATGCTTATGGACATGGGGCAATTTTCTACTTTTTTGGTTGGTTGTACTACAACTATGGAATCAATGCAGTACAGAGAATGAATGTGGATTTAGGAGTCAGAAGCTTTAAGATCAAATTATAGTACTATATTTTAGCCTTCATCAGTTGAACTGAACTGTTTGAGATTATCTTGCTATTTACAAAATAAAAAGTTAATAATTTCCATTTCATATGGAATTGCATAAAGTAAAAAAAAGTATACCAGTTGTCATTGCCTTAATAAGAATGATAATGATAATGACAGTGCCAGTAACAACATATTCTGCAAAGCATTTCCAGAATGTGGTACTGCTGTCATTGTAGCTTAGAAGACTACTATATAGGGAAGCTTCATGTGAATCAAGCATGAATTAATAAGTTTCATGTAATTCTTATGTCAAGTTCATGGCTATAGTCAACACATGCAGTTTTAGTGGCTAAGCAATACACACAGAGTTCTGTTTTTACAAGCAGACATACTACCAAAATTATATAAAATTAGGAAGAATCTTGATTTTTCTTTTCTTCCTTCTTTTATGTTGGTATATTATACTCTGATTTGAAACTTAGTAGTTACTCTGATGATAAATGGGATGGAAATGCCAAATCCAATAGTCAAACATGGAAGTTGGGACACTAAGAAAATTTGCCAGCAGTTTTTAGAGGAGGTCATATAAAAGAGGGGTGCTTACAACTGGAAATAAGTTCTCTTTTATGAGGTGAAAAATTACTTATCCAGCATGAAGTGCTAGGTCACTCCTAATCCAGAGAGGAAAAATCAACACAAAGGTTAAAAATAATTATTTTCTCCATCAGAGATAGCACTAGTCATTTCCCTATTTTAATTAATCCCACAGGAACTCAGAGCAGGTGGTCAGTGAGAATATGCTTAGGAAATGTAATTCTGGCTTAGTGTTCCAGAAGGAAGTACTACTATTAATATCATTCATTTTTTTTTCTTCTAAAGCCTAAGGGTGCGCAAATGAACAGTGTTCAACCTAAATGCCTAACAGGGTACCTTGTCTCTTTAGTGTGTCTAAGGGGGCACAATAAAAATTGGTGACAAATCTGTTGGCATCAGCACTGGATCCTAGTTTCTCTTTCCACTGCTCTTTGTTTAGAAGCAAAGGCAGCTGGGAGGGTCTGTATCCTTTTTGAGTAACTGGGTGCTACCAGAATTCATGGGGCCAAATTGCCTCACTGTGGAAAAGGGGCTAATGCTGGTGCATGCTGGGGTCACCATTCTAAGACAGGATCATGTTCCTGTTACCCAAAGTCAAAACGGAGCTGAATATGGGAGCTGGATTTCCCCTAGATGTAGCAACAATTTACAGTCCTCTTTGCTGTTTCACACAGGCTATGTGTTCTTAGCTTCGAGGATTTAAAGAACTAATCTGGTATATTCAGGAAAGTGCAGTTACACATTTCATCCATCTACCAATATAACAATAAGAAAAAAATGGAATTAAAAGAAATATCTACTGTGGTAAATGATGGTTGGTTATTTCCCCTTCTCATCTTTTTCCATAGTAAGTGCTCAAGTGTTAATGTTTTTAAAGGTTAAAAATCAAGGCATGAGTTTTATTTGCCTGTGTTTGGGTACGCTTACCTGCAATAAGCATGCCATGATTGGTATCATATATCATAGAATAAATCTGCATGTCTCCTGGTCCTCCCTGGCTGTCATGGAAGACTTGTAACAGGGAGAGAGTCTGTATATCCCACACCCTGAAAACCTGGGGGAATAAAGCACAGAATTCACCATTGTTTATACTTTGTCTTTCTCACTCAAGACATTTAGGGAAAGCATTTTCAGAGTCTGCAAAGTCTGCAGGGAAATACAATTTATTTCATGAGCACACATTTGCAAAGCTCCAATTTGGTTCTTGGTTCATTTATTGTTCATTAATATCAGAGGAAAAGAACAACAGTGATTAAAGCCCTGCTCAGAATTATACCTGAGGAAGGGACTTTTTCTATTGTTATAGTGGGGAGGGGAGAATAGTATTTTTACTATTTAAAAATGTGGAGAAATAATAATAGACAGATCATAACTTACTGTTGAATTGAAGCCACATTTCTTTTTTTGCCATGAATAAGAAAATAGGGAGACTCATAGTTTAGGTGGGAGGCTTCAAATTGTTCTTTCGTGATTTATAAAGATGGGAACATCTTACTAAGTGAGGTTTCTAAGAACCTCTCGTTCCCCGTGTACAGAGATGTAAGAATTATGGAAAGTAGTTTTTAGAGATGATATAAATAGAGTAAGAAAATAGGGAATTGGTTTATTGCTCTGCTTTGAGAGGGGACAGAAAACTATACAATAATTCAAATAAAACTTGAGTTCAGAAAACTAGGTCAAGTTTACATTTTGTCACCTGAAATAACTGGTCTTAGCCTTCTTCATTATGCTGTGTTTTTTTTCTAGTAAGTTATAGTGTAACAGAATTTCAGAAATAAGTGTGCTTTGATCAAAGATTACATTCCTTGACATGCATTAGCTCTAAATAAAATTTTTATATCATAGCAATTACTGTTAACCAATTAAATTAGACTATGAATAGCTTTGGACTTTTGTGGGGTTATTTCCATTATAAGTGGAAAATGTTGCAAGTAAAAATATACTTAATATACTTGATCTACTGAATATCACAGCTTGGCCTACCTTACCTTGAATGTACTCAGAATACTTACATTAGCTTACAATTGGACAAAATTATTTAACACAAATCCCTGTTTATAATAGAGTGGTTGAATATCTCATATAATTTACTAAATACTGTACAGAAAGTGAAAACCACAACGGTAGGTATGCTTTTATATAATTATAAAATTTAAAAATCATAAACTATTGTAAGTTGGAGATCATTTATATTTGTTGAGTAAATGAGTGATTATTCTCAGAACTATGTATCAAACTCTGAGAATTAATTTTGTTAACAAAGATACTAACTTCTAATTTGAGGCCCTTAAAACTGAGTTAACTGAGTTGAAATCTTCACTACTGATAAAACAGATTGGTTCTTATATGTAAGAACACAAAATTGTTGAAGTCGGGTGATTTAAGGATATTTTACCCAAATATGTATCCTTTGTATGTTAATATTACTAAAATAGGATTTATTTCCTTTGTCATAGTAAAATAATGCAAATATACAGAGAAGATAGAACATTGAACTTTTCAGTCTTTTGTATGAAAAAGTAAGCAAGTATAAAGGACTACCTATGATTTTAGGTTCAGAACCTAGAATGAAGAACAGCAGGAGATAGAGGCAAAAAAAGCAAATTCAAGGAGTGTCAAAGAAACTTCTCTCTTTTCATTTTGTTTCTGATTTTATTGCTTTAACTGAGATAGTCCAAAGTGGGCATCTTTTTGCTGTGTGTGCATACACTCTGAATTGTAGTTGTTGGAAACAAGAGAATAGGCAAAAAAAAAAATTGGGTTTTCATTCTAATCTATCATTTAAACTTCTTGGGTCTCAATTTTCTTGTTTCTAGAATGAACATAAAGATACCAGTACCCTCTGCCTCTATTCAACCAAAGCAATAATCACAAAGACACAAAGGGTAAAATAAAACAAAACATTCAAACATTCATTAGCAAGCTAAGACGTAATGCATTCATACAGTAGAATACCATATAAACTTCAAAATACAGTGTTGAGGAAAAAAAGAAGAGATTTCAATAGGAGATACACACACACACACACACACACACACACTTCCATTATATGCCCATTTCTTGTTTATATTAGTATCATGTAGCAATTATAATATGATGACTTACTGAGTAGTCTTGTCTTCTAGACCAGAAGTTACTTAAGGGAGAAACCACATCTTAATAGAATGTCTTATGAATTTCCTTTATTTGGGGTTGGTTATGGGGTATTGGGTCTGTTACTTGCTTATTCTGTCTTGGTCCAAGAGAACTGTACAGTGGCTCAGCACTGCAGAGACACACAATACCTTTTACTAATCTAATTAATCAATGGAACACTTTCAGAAAGCATAATCCATTTTATTCTTAGTTGGTTATAATATATTAGTTCCTTTGGGAGAAAAGAAAGTAATGATATTAATGAGGTTCTAAGGATGCTAGTCATCTTCATTCACTTATCCTGACCAGGGGCTGACAATATTCTTATGGCGGGTATTAGTGTTTAAAAACTTGGGAGAATCCATGTGCAGGCAGGTCATTCCTGAAAGGACTTAGTATATTAGGTAGAGGACAAATAGTTAGAGTCCATTGAAAGAACTATTTGAATGGTAAAATGAACATTATATGATGAAAGAAAATGCATTGTCAGGGAAAGCTGGGAATTGACCTGCCTTCCTAATTTTACCCAATGGCTACAAGAGGTTAATAAGATTGTTTCTTGTTTTTTGGGTTTTTTTGTCCCCAAAGGAATCAAATCAGGTCATTCCATGAATTACATGATTTTTCACAAGAAAAGCTTGAAGATATATGAGATTATGAAACTTGTTTGAGAGTTAACTCTATAGACAAAAGGTATATTTGAAAATTAAGGTTTTAACAGTGCAGTAGAAATGAAAGACATTCAACATTATCTGTTTAGTAAATTTAATGCAAAAATGTATTTATTAAGTTCTTCCAAGTAACTTAATAAGAAAACATTTTAGCAACTTGAAACTAAACTTGTTAATTTTTTAATCTTGTTCTCACATTTTTCCTCTGTGATAATTAGCAAATGGAAAATGAGATGAGGATATCTAACATGTTTTTTAAAAATTAACTTGTGTGCATGTATGAATATGTATTAGCAAATCCCACCATTATATATAATTATAATGGACCCATAAAATATGGAAAACAATTAACTTTTTAATGACAAAATTATTCTATGTATTTTAAGTAGTATGCTACAGCTTGCATCCTGAATGTCTCCAAAGGCTCGTGTGCTACCAGCTTGGTTTCCAGCTTGGTGCTATTGGGAGGTGGAAATTAAACCTTTAAGAGATGGGGCCTAGTGGGAAGTCTTCAGGTCATTGGAGGTGTACCCTTGAAACAAACTGTAGGACTCTGACCACTCCTCACTCTCTTTTACTTCCTGATCAAAAAGGGAACAGCTTTGCTGTATTATTTGCTCCCACTATAACGTACTGCCTCACCACAGGCCCAAAGCAACAGGGCCAATCGATCATGAACTGAAATCTCTAAAACTGTAAGCCAAAATAAACCTTTCTCTTCATAAGTTAATTATCTCAAGTTTTTTGTTATAGTAATGGAAAGTTAACTGATATGCATGGTACAAAAACCAAATTCCTCTTCCCACCTATCACTTCTTCTGGGATCCTCAATACTGCTCTAGAGATAGATTGCCTCAAATGACTCCTGCTTTATCACTTAATATCTGTGTGACTTTGGGAAAATCATTTAGCTTCTCTAAGCCTTAGTTTTCACGTTTCTAAAGGGGGATAAACTAGTACTTATCTCTTAGAATTTTCATGAACATTAAATGAGGTTGCATATATAAACAACCTATATCTCTATTAGGATATATAAATCAACTGAGATTTGCCTCATTCTTTCTAATGGCTACACAGTATTCCATTATATGTTTCATAATTTATTGTACCTAGCTCCTTATTATTGGAAATTAGACTCATTTTCCCCATTTTCTTTTATTAAAGTACATGTAACTTTGTACATGTAACTTTGTAAAATACACTGTTCTGGGTAGCAGTCTAAATATAATTGGGTGATAAACTTTTAGAAATAGAATATTTGTGTCCAAAGATATGAACTTAATGTTCATATCTTTGGACACAAATATTCTATTTTTCTATATTCAATTCTGAAAAAAATTGAAGTTGGTTTCTCTTCATTCTTAGGTCTTGTCATGAAAGATCTGTGGCAGTTATACTTTATTTACTCAACTAGATTGTAGCTCCTTTGGTCAGAGATTATGTCAATATATATAGAGACACAGGGCCTTTCTATTGAGTATTAGGCACTTAGTAGGTCTCATATATTGGTTGGCCCATATTTGCACAGTAGGAAGTCAGGAGTCCTACTATAGCCATGAGCCACAGCCAAGGAACAATGGAGGCTTTTTAGAAGGCCCCGCTGTATGAGAGATAAAGGTTAATGTCAACAGTGGCTGTAGTAAATGTGTGTGTATGTGCGTGCAAACGCAAGGGATCCAAGGAGATCTTTAAGATGGTAATATTTCACTCAGGACATATTTCATTTACATTTAAAAGATAAATGCAATATCTGGGAATGATACAGCCTTGGTCTCCAGCTTGGTGCTATTGGGAGGAGGAAATTAAACCTTTTAGAGATGGGGCCTAGTGGCAAACATGTTTTAGACAAAAGGTCAGAAAGCACAAAGCCATTGGGGAAGAGTTTTGTGAAGCTTAGTATGTCTGAAGGTGGATGAATAGAAACAAAGCTAAAAAGCATTCTGATCCCAAACCATGGAGAAACTTAAAAACTGGAAGAAAAAAAAAAGAATTTGGACTTCATTTGTAAGCTCCCTTTTCTGATCCATAAGAAAGCACTGGCAAGGTTGGAAGTAGGGTTGAGGAGGGCTAATGTGACAGTGTAATATTTGGGTGGTTTGGGGGGTGCAGGGATTGAAGATAGTAGACCACCAATACCTTTCTTAAATGCACCTTCAACTGGAAGCCCCTTGGTGGTCTGAACTAAGGTCATGACTGTGGGATGGAGAATGAGAGATCAAAAAGAGACTGACCCATGGTAGGGGTTGGG